GCCGCTCGCATGCAGCTTGGTCCGGGTTCGAGTCCAGTGGAGATGAAATGTTTTTTATTGTTTTATTTTTAGTTATGAAGTGGCGGTGTTTGTAGTGTTTGTGCACGTTGCGCAAATAATCCGGGTTCGAATCCTGGTCTCGCAAAGTCGATTTTTATTTTTTTTCTTTTTTTTTTTTTAATACTCGATACAAACTACGGAAAATATTACAAAACTCAAAGGACTGGGATCAGGGTATCTCCTAGTCGGGCACCCCGACTAGAGCTTTCTTACTTGTTTATTTTGGCAACCTGAAAGCGTCGCACTCAGTACTCACTTGGCGGCTGGGTAAACTGAAATTTCACAGCTACTTAATAAATGTTAAGTTGAACAAAAAATAAACCGTTAGAATCAAGAGTAGCCAAAAATAAATAAGCTTCGACAGCGACACGTTCCTATATCAATAAAAATTGTTGCTATTCGACTTTATAATATTATGTTAAATGTTAATTATTAGCGCGGTTTATTGCACTGCAAATTAGACAAGAACATAAATATAACAAAAACGAAATCCAACTAAATTAAATGACTTAAAAAAAGAAATTATATACAGCATGTCAATAAAACTGAAATTGAAAGTAATTTGAAATAAAAATAACTCGAATTATGCAACAATTATTATTATTATACAATTTTTGTATAAAATATTTAATCAATGCTGTGAATCCCCAACAAGGCAAAGGCCACGGTAGCTATTAAGAGGGTTATATTCAAAAAGCTTATGTTATGGGTTCAAATTTGGAATATAAATCGAGTAAGTCCAAAACTTTTCCAACTTTTGGCAAACAAAAACACAAAAAACCAGAAGCTGGCTTTGTTTTCCCATTTCAAATCTATCCCACACCTTATCAATTGTATTCCATTTAACCAAACTTCCTTAAACTCTAAAATCGCCAAAAAATAAATTATTATACATATCTGAAATCTGAAACCGAACTAGTTGGTCGAGTCTGGTCCGTCCTATAGTCTGCTTATTTACATAAATATAAATCTAAAGCAGCTTGACAAGTAATAAAATTTGCTCTGCCTTGACTAGTATGTAGATGCGATCATACATACATACATACATGCTTGCATACATACATACATGTATACATGTATATATGTATGTTTATTTGTATAAAGGATAAATTAGCATAAATCATAAGCACAATTAAAGATGTCCAAAAAGTTGTATTCTCTTTCGCTGACGCAACTTTTTGTGACATTTGGCTAGCAAATATATGCATACTTATTGTTTTTTTTTTGTCTTTTGTGATGTCTATTCTATTAGATCCGCCAAATTATAATATATACATGGCAGGCATAGCTTATGGAAGAATATTATAAATAAGCGAAAAACCTATTCTTGTCGGCGCTGTGGCATAATATTTGTTCTCTAGGCATGAAGGCACGGCTGATTATAATTTTAATGGGCTGGGCGTGCAGACATTTAATTACATAGAGATAAATGTTGAAACATCTGTTCCTTGCCTTCAATTGACACCTAGTGTGGAAAGATTTATGTATCGATTTAAATAAATGCGTATATAAATCTGTTCCTAATTAAATGAGATGCTAACTATAATAAAAAGTTACAAATTATTTCCGTGAAAAAAACAAAGGGGAATCTTTTTTTATTTTCTATAAAATGCTTCTAATTTATAGCTAACATATATGTATATATGTATATATATAGTTATATATATATATATATGTGTACATCTTTATATAATATAATACAACATTGTCTAGAATCTGGTTAGACATGGCAGCCACTACATCTGGCTTTGGCCCATGTCATGGACATCATGTGCGTTAGTTTGACAAGCCAGTTTTGTAATTAATTTGAACAATTTTATGCACACACACATACACACTCTCTGTTTGATCAATCAAATACACGAAAAACAAAGTTTTAGCACGTCCTTCGTTCATTTGCATCTTTACATCTCAGTTGGATAATACTCAAGCTTTAATTTCGTTTCATCATGCCAAGAGCCATGTTGCAAGCAGCCATGATGCCGCCGAAATAGTTTTCTTTCCTCCATCAAGTTTTTGGCATAATTTTACTGAATTACAATTTAGTTTTTTATTTTATTTTTGTCACAATGACTTCTCGAAAATGTCAGCCGGTGTCATTGCCTCTCCGCAAAGCAAGTTACGACTCGACTTGTCAGCATCACAGCGCACAGCATCGTTCATCTGGTCAACTGGTCTCCGTCTAGGTGGAGGTTTCCCAATAAAAAAGAATATCTAATAGGCGGATGCATAATTGTGTGTTACTGACGGTCATCGGAGCAATTAGCTTCTTTGGGGTGACTTCCTAAAGCCAAACTGTTTACGAGCCTGCCTCATTTAGGAACATTTAATGGCTCCATTGCATAGCACTCACTTTGCAGCACGTAATTATGACTGCTAACACACATTGCTGATAGCTACTTTAGCAGATAGATATAAACAACTTTTAATAATGCCATTCAAGCAAGAAGTGCGTACACTGAGAGAATTTCGAGCTGCTAACTGATTGACACAGCTGCAGAGTACTGTTATTCGTGAAACACTTTCCATAGGGTAAAATGCATAAGTCAAGCTGAATTAACCAAATTCGAGAATAATCTGACCCAAAGCCGAACCAAAAAATTAATTGGCTTAAAACATCCAGCAACGTTCTGAATTATTAGACTGTAGTCTCTCCTCTTGGCTTTTTATACTTCACTCTTCACTCTAGGCTTTTAGCTTTTTGCTCTTGATTCTTCCATCTTTCATCTTCCATTTTCCATCTTCCATCTTCCATTTTCCATCTTCCATCTTCCGCCTTCCAGTTCCCAGATTCCATAACTTCTTTCTTATTTTCTTTTATCTTCCCCCCCTTCCTTTTAGCCTCCCTCCTTCGTTAACTTATAAGAGTTTTGTTTCTCTTTCCTCTCTCAACATCTTCACATATGCGTTTCCTCTTTTTTCTCTCCATCTACACCTTTCCTCTTCTGATCCTTTAGACTATTTGCTCTTTATTTTTCTTTGCCCTTACATTATCCTCCCTTACCCTCATAACTAACCTGCTCCATGCCTTAACTTAACTTAAAATCCAACAATCATTTTTGTTCAGTGTATATAACCAGATCTAAAGAATTCTAACAAATATAATTATTTATTGATGATAGCTTCTTGATTAGATCTATATCGTCTATATTAAACGGAACAAGTTTAAGTTTGGGCTCTATTTGACTTTCAGCAATGACAAGTTTGGATGGACAAAATTGGATGCTCGGTTAGCACCTCATTCATGAAAAAGTGATCTAGATACGCGACAAATATTTGGAGTATGCAAAGATCTCAGCTCGATGAGTTTCTGTTTAAGTTGCAGTTGTTGATGGGCTACGAGTAGGCTTTTGTTGCTGTTGTCGCGTGGGCAGATGCCAAAATGGTTCAGCTTTGAGTCGTTTTAACGCGACTTTGGCGTGACTACCATTTGAGCATGTTTTGGGCATCAGAAATTAATAAATGCAGCTTAAAATAATAATGAAAAAATAAGAGTTGGAAACCCGTTTGGCTGCTGCTGCTGTGGCTGCTGTCAGCCGCTCGGACGCGCAAAAATGATGCTCCAATGGCTTCAGTTGCACTGGCTCGGGCTTTCGCATATCTCGCACTCGCATCTCTGCATCTCCATCTCCATCTGACTGCATCTTTTTTGTTTTTATTAAAAATAAAATGTGTACAGGCGTGTGTGTGTGTTGTTGTTGTTGTGGTTTTTTTATTTTGCGTTTAAAGGTCATTTGGTTATTGGGGCTGCAGCGTCTGTGTGTGCGCCTACCTTAACATTCAGAGCTCAATTCCAAAGTTGGACGACACGACTGACCCGCCATACGCACCAGCAGCAACAGCAACATTAACAGCATCACCAGCATCACCAACCGGTTCATCATCTTCATCTCTGCTGCTTTAGGCCTAATCTCAGCTACAAACAGCTGTAATCTCTGTGAGCTGTGCCTGGCCATGTTTGCACTTAGACAACGCCTGCATGGAATGCAACAGCAGCAGCCGCGGCAACTAATTTCGTTTGCAACTCAACTAAATAGCTATTTGCCCATTGCTGCGCATCGATTCAAGCCTTGAAAGCGATTGCCAAAATTACAACATCTTCGTCTTCGAATGTTAATCTCGTTTACAAATTAGACTTGGCATGACAATATGTTTAACACTCATCGACCATATTATCCAGGGGCGTTCAAATTACTCAAATTCCGCAACAACAACAAAAAACTAAAGAAACTTAAATAAATAAAAATAGAGAAGAAAAAAGAGTTCAAGCAGAGCAATTGGCCCAGCCTTAAGCTCACTCACTAGTCTTCTAATATATTTGCTCAAATAAAAGTAGCTAAATAGAAAAACCAATATAAAAAAACAGCAAAAAATGCGGCATTGTCTCAGCTGCTGCTGTTGCTGTTGCTATTGCTGTTGGTATTTTTTTTAAGTTCTCATTTGCATATCTTTTAATTTAATAAATTTTGATTATTTTGTTTTAGTGCGTTTACTTATGTTATGCGACTGTTAAAAGGCAACAACAATAGCATTAAGAGCAGCAGTTGCTGCGGCTGCGCAGCTGGCGAGCGACTGAGCTTTGCATACGAATACCTGGCCGAAAACTGGCAACGGGTTGGTCAGTGGCTGGCGTCAGCGTCTTTGTTGGCAGCATCTTCACTCGTTGCGAGTGTTAACAGCTGTCGCCCAAGACGTCGACGTCGTCGTCGTCGCCGCTGCAGAGGCAGCAGAGACAGAAAACAGCAACCGCGACAGCGGTCGATCCGACGCCCCGAGTATATATAAGTAGAGAATCTACAAGTTTTGATGCTTTAGTTGCTAGCCCAGAGTCGACCCAGAAGTTGAAGCAATTTTTTTGCTTGGCATCGATCAAAAATTCAATTGACCATTGAATTTTGATACGATCGACACACACAAGGATTATACACGAAACACAACAGTTCATTGTCGGGATATATAATCTTCTTATAGATATATAAACGTTATCTGGCTGCCGTCCGTTGCAGTTGAAAGTGCTCAATATGGTAACTAAACTTAGTTCCAATATAGAAATGAAAGACAAACGTGACAAAAGTGTTGAAAGAAGTGTTGCTAAAAGCGAAAAACAAAAGACAATCGAACAGTTAACAAAAATCAATTATTCGTACTCTGCTTTATATTTATATACGATACATATGTATAGGAATATCTATATATATTTGTATATATAACAAGGTAGAGCAGCAAGTGACATTTAGAGTTTATATTTAAACGTAATTACACGTCCGGTTGGGACAACAGTTGTGCAAGTGTTAGTGAGCGAACGCCAATATCGTTTGCCATGTTGCGCATACGCCCATTGCGCCCACGTGGACTAACCAAGTGAACGTGGTCATTCTGCCAGCGTAGACCAGCTGTCAGCATTTGCGTCTTCAATCATTAACATGACTTTCAGTTGGCAGCAGAAGCTCGGCCATCGTTTTAGCCAGGGTTTCTATGTCAACGCAGCGAATGAGATGAAAACTTGTTTGCATCATTTGCAAATTTTCCATACATTTCATGGATTGACATTTAAATTGGCATATTTAGGCAAATGACCATTAAATGTTGCCTTTAGTTATAGCTCGATGCTAAATTCTTAACTATGCCATTGAGAGATGATCAACGTCTGCTAGTTAATTAACTACAGCAAGTTCGTTGCCTAAGTCTTTCGATTGCAACACAAAGATGTACGACAAAATATCAAAGAATCGCATTTAAGAACCGATTATACTAAAGTGCCAAAGGCGCTTTAAGCAGAGTAAACAAAAGTGCTCAAAGATGATATATGAAGGAGCAATTAGAGCTGATTGAGCCTAAAGTAATTAACTGAAAGAAATTAAAATTAAAATATTAAAGATTTGTATACTTAAATATTATTTTTAAAATACTATTTTTTTTATTGATTGCAAACAAATGCAATAGACTTTGAAGTGTTTTACTTCTCATTTCGTTTTCAAACTTCTGTTTCGGGTTTTCCCAATTTGAAAATTACACAAATCACTTCACATAAATCATCTGAAAATCTTCATTAACGAAAACGTCTAACGTTTGCCCACTTTCGTTGATGGCTTGACCCAAATGGGCGACATTGACGTTTCCGATATGATCACAAGGTCAAGCCTTTTGTAAATCAAATTAATTAAAACTCAAATTAGCATAATAAATTATAGGGAAACGTGCTCAGAGATGAAAATGTCAAACGAAAATCATAATAGAGAAGATCCCATATGGCATAAGGACTCACGTCACGTTAAAGCAAACAAATATTTTTGTTTGCAGAACGTGTTTGATAGAAGCTAGAAACTCGCTAAGCGAGCTGCATTCATATGAAGCTTGGGAAGTTCTTAATTGCAGAGATAACATCAATTCATTAGGCTTCTTATGATATAATTGTAAAAAACTGGAAGCGGACGTCTGTTTGATATCCTTTCACTTTCGAGCTGCGAGGTGCTAACTAAGCTTCATGTTGAGCTCCTAAGCGATTTGAGCATTTGAATATTAAACAAGTTTAGAGTATCTCGAATAAATTTCAAGTTCATTAACAACCAAATTTTAAAAGTCATTTACATTTCAATAAGTTATGAATTGTTGTTGCTGTCTTTTGAGAGATCTGACGATAAGTCATACCATTGGCTAGAATGTGTACGTATAAGTATATATGTATATAGGAATGATTCTTTTGTTGTAGGAATTCGAAGATATGGCCTCAGTTTAATGGCGGCATTCAATGATTAGTGCGTATGCTAATTAGGCTTTAGCGACGAGTTCAGTTTTTCTCACTTTATTAATGGCCGATCGCCGATTATTGTTGTATAATCGCGTTGTCTCTGATGGCTAAAATAAAAAACTAGTCAGCCAGAATTTGTTGGCTTCGCAGCCGGTTTGTTGCATAATTAGCAAATGCTATTTTGGTAGATGGTAATCGTACGGACATTAGCTATCAAAAAATTCTTAGTGATTTTCAGATGTCCGCAAATTAATTGCACTTTAAGCCATTTACCACTTTCGTTAACGTTTCTGCGTTGACAGCGCCGCTTTGACCTTGTCGAGATCGCATACATAATATGCTAATTATAAGCCATTCGACTCGTTGACAGCCACGGAAGAAGCCATGTGGCTTAATCTATGCACACTTTTTTTGGTCAGTGATCTTGTCTCCAAGACCAATTAATTATTTCACCTGCATTTTGTCGTTTTCCGTTTTCATTGTGCTTTTCGTAATTTTAATTAAATTATGGATCAGAGATTTGAGAGCACAATAAAGTTTGGCTAAGTTTTGGATCGCTACCGTGACCTAGAGATGATGTCAAAGTTGAATGTCTTTGCCTCTACACGTTAACATCTTTATTGTAATTGCCAGCCTCTTGGTGTTGTTGTTGTTGTTGTTGTTGTTGCTATTGTTGTTATATGCAAATGGCAGACATCGTCTGAACTTTAACAAACGACTTTTGTGCCGTTAAACGTTGCTGTCTGTGCTTTAACAATGTTGCCTTGTATTTAGACCTAGAGCAAACTATTAGACAACAATTCGATAAGGTACTTAGAAAAAAACTCACTTAGCTGCTCAGGTGTCAGCGATTGTGCCAAGTTAACAGCCAAACCACTTAATTTGAGCATCTTCTTTAGCCATATTAACTCGATTTCTTTCTGTTTCGTTTTCCCACAGAAAAGTGCACTTTTTGTCGTGGCGCTTTGCGTTGTGGCAGTAGCCACCGCATCGGCTGATACGCATGAGGTAAGTACAGAAGGAGGCTTTAGAGTCACAGATCAGATCAGCAATATTATCTTTGTTTTATTTCAGCGTAAGATTCGTGCTGCCCAGGGATATTCCTATCCTGTTCCAGATGTGCCATTTGAGTTGCCGAAGCGCACCACTTTGCCACCACCAACAAGGCCTCCAACTCGAGTGCCCGTGACTTACTTGCCTCCCACAAATAAGCCACAGCCGCCAGTGACTACTCGTCGACCAACTCCACCACCAACTTATCGTCCAGTGCCAACCACCAGGGCTACCGTTCGTACTACTCCGGCTCCAACCTACTTGCCACCCACGAACAAGCCACTGCCTCCAGTGACTACTCGTCGACCAACTCCACCACCAACTTATCGTCCAGTGCCAACCACCAGGGCTACCGTTCGTACTACTCCGGCTCCAACCTACTTGCCACCCACGAACAAGCCACTGCCTCCAGTGACTACTCGCAGACCAACACCAACAACGACAAGAGCTACCATTCGTACAACTCGTGCGAGCACTCCTGCACCAACATATATACCTCCTACCAATAAGCCACAACCCCCTGTGACCACTCGTAGGCCAACACCGACACCAACCCGTCCACCAACCCCACCACCAACTCGCCCACCAACTCGCCCACCAACTCGCCCACCAACCCCACCACCAACGTACTTGCCTCCCGTGACCACCACTCGTAGGCCAACGCCCCCACCGACTACCAGGCCTCCTGTCCGTACAACTCGTGCGACCATCCGCACAACCAGCACTCCAGCTCCTACCTACTTGCCTCCTACAAATAAGCCACAACCACCTGTGACCCCTCGACCAACACCACCACCAACCCGTCCACCAACCCCACCACCAACTCGCCCACCAACTCGCCCACCAACTCGTCCACCAACGCGTCCACCAACCCCACCACCAACGTACTTGCCTCCCGTGACCACCACACGTAGGCCAACGCCCCCACCGACTACCAGGCCTCCTGTCCGTACAACTCGTGCGACCATCCGCACAACCAGCACTCCAGCTCCTACCTACTTGCCTCCTACAAATAAGCCACAACCACCTGTGACCCCTCGACCAACACCACCACCAACCCGTCCACCAACCCCACCACCAACTCGCCCACCAACTCGCCCACCAACTCGCCCACCAACTCGTCCACCAACCCGCCCACCAACCCCACCACCAACGTACTTGCCTCCCGTGACCACCACTCGTAGGCCAACGCCCCCACCGACTACCAGGCCTCCTGTCCGTACAACTCGTGCGACCATCCGCACAACCAGCACTCCAGCTCCTACCTACTTGCCTCCTACAAATAAGCCACAACCACCTGTGACCATTCGACCAACACCACCACCAACCCGTCCACCAACCCCACCACCAACTCGCCCACCAACTCGCCCACCAACTCGTCCACCAACGCGTCCACCAACCCCACCACCAACGTACTTGCCTCCCGTGACCACCACACGTAGGCCAACGCCCCCACCGACTACCAGGCCTCCTGTCCGTACAACTCGTGCGACCATCCGCACAACCAGCACTCCAGCTCCTACCTACTTGCCTCCTACAAATAAGCCACAACCACCTGTGACCCCTCGACCAACACCACCACCAACCCGTCCACCAACCCCACCACCAACTCGCCCACCAACTCGCCCACCAACTCGTCCACCAACGCGTCCACCAACCCCACCACCAACCCGCCCACCAACCCGCCCACCAACCCCACCACCAACGTACCTGCCTCCATCGACCACCCGTAGGCCACAAACTCCACCTACTACCAGAGCTACAGTCCGCACGACTCGGCCTCCAGTGATCGTTTCGACTCGTAGACCAACTCCGCCACCAACATACCTGCCTCCCGTGACCACCCAGAGGATAACGACCCGTAGAACCACTCCGTACGTGCCACCGACCAGGCCTATTGTGACACCAGCGCCGACCAAGCACCAGGGCTACCAATACCCCGTGCCCAGCATTCCCTTTAACTTCTAAGCACCCGTACAGCAGCTCAGTTATAGCCGTCGATGAATTCAACGACGGCCGAAAGGCAGAGGGGTGACATTTCATTTCATTTTAATTGAAATATTATTGTCTGAGGAGGGGGATGCAATAACTGATGCTCTCTAAATATATCTAGCAATGCAAATGCCAACCATATCTATAGGGCTAGATACATCTAGTCAATACAGTCGAAAGGATTTTTACAGCGTTTCATGAGGGTGCTCGAAATTGCGATACCACTGAAGCGTCAGCAAGAATTAAACTTGTTTGTTTTTATGAATTAATGAATCGCATACTCATACGATTAGGGATCACTGTATATGTATCTAATTTTTTGTAAACCTCTTACTATGTACTATACTGCGCACTCTTGCTATGTTTTATGTTTCCCGTCTCAAGACTATTTAGCTCTATGTTCAAATAAAATGAAAACAAACATCGTTTTAAAATATTTCTGAAGACCGAACAATAAATTAGGTTTATTTAATGCGGTTTCAATGCATATTCAATTCGACAACGGGAAACGTTTTCAGCGCTTGTTATTGTTATTGTTGATTGTTAATAATATTAAGTTGTTTTCTATAGTTATGCTAAAAGCAGATACAACTCGCTTGAGCTTGATACTGTAAATGAGTGGATCGTCTGACTTCATGGCAAGGTTTGTATTTAGAAATAATGAAGAGGAGATGATGATAAGATCTTACAGTATCTTAACACTCTAGTATAAGGATCTTACCTTTGTTATAGATTTAGATAGAATAGAACATCATCATATGACCTTAGACTATTTTTTGTGATTGATGTACATTAGCAGCGTTTGCATAAGACACTGATTAGTTAATTTAACTTAAAGATAATCTTTTTAAAAAATGTTGAAATTCATTGAAGGTTACTTTACTCTGAACTAAATTTATCGGAAAATTAGTGGGAGATATCAAAGAGGGCGTAGGATCGTCACAGATTCAAATTTCACGATGAGTATTTTTTGAACTCAATTTGGGTCAACTCTACTTAATTAAATTATATCATAACCAGGTCAGATTGAAAGAAAAGTCAATCAGTCTTAAGCCTTACTTAAAGACTTGAGTTCATTTGAAATGATTTTACTTTATGTTTTTCCTTGAAAATAATTATGTGTACAAAGAAATCCCACTCTAGCTAGATGTAAGCTTAACTTTTACAAATTAGTTTTAGGCTTAAACACCACGAGATTTTCATTTTTTCTGAACTGATAATAACAACAGCAAGTCAAAAGCATATTTTATCTTAAACTTCAGTTCATCACTCGCATGATCAAGTTTTTAGCTGGTGTCAAATGCTGTTTAATTAGCCTTAAAACAATTTAAATTTGATAATCACTTTATTAAATTTGACTTTTCACTCAATTGAGCAGAGTTTTAAGCACTTCGGCTAAGCCAACAATTGTTTCTCGTTTGAATTCTTTATCGCGTGCATAGCTCGACGCGATCTTGAGCTGTTCATGTTGGCTGCATTTGAAGTATCTCATTTTCTTTTCTACACAGAGATCGGGCGCACGAAATCATTTAGGCAATTAATTTATTTGTCTATTATTTTGCTTTCGTATGTTAAACTTTCTAATTAGCTGCTGAAGTGCAGCCGCAAGTTTTTTAGGGGCTGCTTGGCCAATGCTGCAAGCAGTCGTCTTTGCGATTCGCGATGAGGAAGTCGCGTCCCGTGCGCCAAGAGATACCGATACCAAAAATTTTTACTGTGAAAAATGTTTATAAAGCCAAGAGTGCAGCCGGAGCCCGAGTTAAACGATAAAACGCTGCGGGATCCACATCCTGCCAAAGGCGGCACAAAGCAAAAGGCTAATAGCAGCCGCTGGCCACGGATTATGGGCGTGCTCTATGTGTACACAATTGTGAGCCAAATGTCATTAGATCAGTGCAGAGCAGAGCAAATAAAACTTTCCCTTTTACAGATGTCTCTTATGGTCGTCAAGGTCGCATCAACAGCAGCCTTATATCAACAACAACAGCAGCAGCAGCAACAGCAGCAATTACCCAACTACATCGAGGGCCAGACGCTGTCGGAGACAACGCCCAGCACTGAAAGTGACGACAGCTCGAGACAAGCGGCGGAACGTTTAAACATTGAGAAGATGCGTGCCAAGTTACAGCAATTGCAGCACGAGCAGCAGCAGCAATATCGTCTGCAGCAGCAGCAGATGCAGCTGCATCTACAGCAAATGCAACAGCAGCTGCACCTGCATGGCAACGATGTGGAGGATCTGGAGGCAGAGAGCGGCACAGGTGGTGGTGGTGTTGGTGGTGTTGCTGCTGGCGAAACTGCCTACTTATTGGAGCTTGCCGACGACGTTGCGCCCATTTACGGAACATGGCGCACGAAAGCGAGACGACCCCAGCCGCCAGGCGGCAACGCGCTGCAGCACGCAATGCCTGCCGATGGCGACGCCAACGATAATCATCTGTATGAGCGGCTGCCTAAGCGATCCGTCACCATGACGCCGCTGCGTGATGTTTTGCGCGATCAGCTGCCCCGCCCACCGCGTCTCTCCACCCAGCGACCGCCCTCGTCGGCAGCGTTGCTAAGGCGCCAATACTCCGAGACGCCAGGCTCTTTGGCTATGCGCGATGATTTCAAACCGAAGCCGTTTCACTTTCCCTTCGACGGTCCGTTGCCGGAGCAGTTCAAGAAGGGCGAGGCGGAGCGCCTGAACAACATCCAGGACATATTGCACAATATGCACATCAATAATCCGTTGCCCAGCAAGATGCCCGGGCTGGTGATGATGCCCACAGGTCTGCACATTGCGGGCAGCTATAAGAACCTGAAGGCCAGTGGCATAGCTAACTTCTTTCGGGGCAAGCGCAGCAAGAAGCAGATGCAGTTTAGCATTCCGCTGCCCATGTTTCCCATGGGCATGCCGATGTCCATGTATCCAGGTGCTCCACATCAACGTGTAGCCATCGATCAGTTGTATCCGTATAAGCCACGCTCTCCACAGGACATCAATTTGCTGGCACTGCAGCAGGCTCCAGCTAGCAAGCCCAACTCCAAGAAGAAGCACAAGAAGCAGCTGAAGCAACAGCAGCCGCAAGAACAGACCAACTACAACATGTTGCTGGAGCACGGCAGCCAGCAACACTACTTGGTCGATCCCTTTCTGCAGAGCTTCCCACCCATCATAGCGCTAAATGCAACGCGTCAGCCACAGCACAAGCGTATACCCTTCAAAGTGAACCTGGATATCTATCCGGTGCTGCCACCCTCTAGACCCACCTCCGTTCTGCGCAATCCCTATCAGAGCGACTATGCAGTGCCCACTGCTAGCGTGCTGGCTGCCTCGCCTGGTTCCATCTATGCACAGCCGCATCTGCATCAGAGTCTGTACCAGACGCCTTTCAAGTTTCCCACACAGCCGCCCAGTCACCTGCCCATGATCTTTCCCGATCAGTCCATACGCTATAGCCAGCAGCAGGCGATCTTTCAGTCGCCCAAGTTCGCGCCGCAGTCTCAGCAGAACGATGACTGCATCTATGGCCCCTCCATGACCACTAGCAATGGCAATGGCAACGCCAATAGTGGAGCTGTTGACACAAGCAACAATCAAATAATGCTGCATCTGAATGTCTTTCCCAAGCAAAAGCCTTCGCCAGCGGTGCGCGCTTCCACCAATCCCTTTTACAATCACAATTTTTCGGGCTTGCAGCGTAATACTTTCAGCGCCAGCGAACGCGAGCAGCCACTACCCAAGCCGCCAAGTCCTATCGAACCACGACAGGTGGCTGCCACACAGTCGCAGGCTGCCAACAGCTCGCTGTCTGCATCAGCTCAGCCACAGCAGCAGCAGCAGAACCACACTCAACAACAACAACAGCAACAACAACAACAACAGCAACAACAACAGCAACAACAGCAACAACAGCAACAACAGCAACAACAGCAACACCAGCAGCAGCAGCAGCAACCGGTAAATCATTCGATTTCACGCAGCGACAATCTCTCGCTCATTGACTTTGAGCATCCCATTGTGGCAGCCGAGGTGCCGCAGCTGCCCCACTTGCCGAGTCCTGCTGCACTCACCGGCCACCCAGGTTTGTCCTCCAATCATGGTCGCTATAGCGTCCAAGGTGAACACATACGCTATCACAAGAATCCGCACATCGACCAGTTGGCTGCCGAGGCACAAACAGCTTCGCTCTTTCGCTTTCCCGTCGAGGATCTGATACAGTTTCAGGTGGATGATGCGCTCTAAATCATTCTAGTTGTAGTGCTTATCTATATATATATATATCGAAAATAAATCAAATATTTTAGTGTTTATATCAATATAAGAGCTTGACTTGCAAAATACTAGAGATTTCATTCTCGACCATTTCTAGCAATATTCAACTTGGTTGGGAGAGAGAAAGGTAATTTCAAGCAATAGGCACGGAAAGACATAGAGGCTACGTCCACCTTCCAATTGCGGATTTAAATTTTCTGTAAGTTTTCCTCAGTGCTTAGGTTAGGTTAGGTTTTAAACTTGAAGCATTTCTCAGCTTGTTTAAATTCACTCAAAGTAAAGTTCGATGTTTATACAAAAAGTCTTTTGAGCATGGCTAGAATATTTTTGTCTATTAAATGTGAAACCCTGCCTTTATTACAAAGGCAGTATAATGTATTATACCCTTGTAGCACCCACACCCTAAACAAACCTATTCACAGTTGCCCTTTGCCTAGCTGCCTCGCTGGTGACTCTCCCTTTGAATAACAAAAAGTGTAGCCTACTTTGAGGCTGTGCCAGAAAATGATCTTCATGAATGTTCCTCGCTCGGTGTGTACACACTGGCGCATATTTCATTGCCACTCGTTTTGCGCATGCGCGAAATGTGTATCAAAACAAAACCGGCGACAGGCACGAAACCAGTATTTACCTGCGTCTGACCGAATCACGCACGCCGTTGGCCAGCAAAGAACGCCAGCAGCAGCAACAGGTAAGACGGCCACAAAGACAGAAGGTGAGCGAGCGTCGCGTCGTTAAGACGTTGCTGCGGTTAAAAAATTCGTCGAAAACAGTCGGCAAACAACTAACGAATAAAAAAACAACAAGCGCAAAAAGTAAAGCAACAAAAAATATATTCGGAACGAGAATCAAGTTTTGTGCCTGGCGTCATACTCGAACGTTGTTGGTTTTTGCGCGTGAATAAAAGTGAAATAATCATTTAATAAGTGTAATAACGGTTAAGCTAATTAAGTGAGAGAAAGAGATAGAGCTATGTGAGTAGGCTAGGGCCTAGGCATCTGCAGTGTTTGATGCTTTATGCTCTATGCGCTGCTTCCTGGCCATTTCCATTTCCATTTTTTTTGCCCAAACACCAACTGACCAGCGGGTCTATATGTATCTTGTAGATACTTATGTATCTGCACGCTACGCCAGCGCAGAGAGCAACCAGTTCTGTATTCTGCGCTTATTTATTTGAGCTGCCTTTTTGCACATTTTGGTGTGCCTGTGTGTGTGTGTGTGTGTGTGTGTGTGTGTGTTAGCTTGCTTTCTTTGACTTCCCCATGCTTTGTGCCTCATTCCTCATTCTCCAGCTGTGAAAGAAAGCCAATCGTTAAGCGCCTCAGCCAAATGATTGGAACTCTTTGGCAGCGGCAACAGCAACAGCAACAGCAGCATCAGCAGTCGCCTCATCATCATGTGCCACTTTTCACATGCGCATAAAGTGAAATTGGCAGCTGAATCGAATTTCTTTTCTAGAATTGTTCAAATATTTGTTTTATAACGATGCGCATTACAAGTTCAGCCAACAGTTTTCCGCTGAGCGAGCACAAATCTATGCAGCTTCAGTAATTGCTGCCATTGCAGCCATAGCCAAGGTCGACTGGGCGGATGGGGGCTGGCATTGAATAAGTTTTTGATTTGTTTTTTAATTTTAGCTGTGCTTAACATAAAAATATCTCTCTCTCTCTCTATCTATATCTCTACCTCCTCTCTCTCTCTCTCTCTCTTGGTTTCAACAGAAGTGCCACAGTGAATATTGTGCTAGATGTGCTAAATACTTAAGTAAATACAGCCGAAATACTTGCAAGCTAACGGATATATACAAATAACGGCATTGGAATTAGCAACGGCAACATGTTGCTGCCGTCGCTAATGTGTTTGCTGCTGCTGCTCTTTGGCCGCTTGGCCGGGGCACAGCTGCTGAATCATCCGCCACATTTTGTGCCCGGCTCGGGCGACATGTCCCGCTTCAGCCTGTCGGAGCACACGCCAGTGGGCAGTCCAGTCTATCAACTGAAAGGTAAGTCGTGGCTATATTTTGAACTAAGGTCAGCTAGTGGACAAACCCATGTTTCATAATAAACATAGAGTGGCTTTGATGGTGTCTGCCAGACTAAGAGATGCCCTGCAAACAGCCAGTCAAGTGGGTTATTAGCGAGACTCACAGAAGGTAGCTCAAAGAACTATTAATTAGAGCACATTCAACAAATGCATCTTTATACACTTCTACTACTTACATAATCTCGTAGCCAATATGCTCTCCCTCACCTATTTACACTACATACAGGGTATACCAGCAGCAACAATAGCCCCAATTCTCACATTATATACGGCAAAAACCTTTCACAAAAAGCCAAATTAATTTTAAGACAATGTTTTTGGACTCAAAAACTCTGTGAGCTTATGTCGCTCAAAACGTATATAAAGTAGCTATATATACATATATATAGATATGTATGTATACAGATCTTAATTGTATTATGCTTTTGGCCTGGTCATTTGATAGTTTAATTATTTTGTAATTTGACTTTTGTGTGCTCGAAGTCTCAAATTGCCTTGCTGACTTTCATTTCGCGACTTGGGCCCAAGGGGGCTCTGTCTATATGAGCATAATTGAAATATTAAGCGCTTGGCTCGCCGCAACGCCACCTACTTTTGGCCAACCTTGTGCACAGTATTAATTTTTTTGTAATTTTACTTTTGTAGCTCGAGTATCTGAAATCATGTTGCGATAAGCGCTAAGCAATGTCAAAATGATAATATTTATGTCTTGCATGCCTGAGAATGCATTTCGTTAATCAGTCTGCAGTCGTGTAGCCCAAAACAATGCCAGCAGCTACGTACACATGTATGTGTGTCGTCTGTATCGGGGCGATACACAGGCGGAAATGCATTTGAACACGTTTGTGCGTAGCAGTCGCGATAGCAAAACAAACGCTCCGATAATGCCGGCGACGATAGCGATGGCAATTATTATGGGAATCTGGCGTGTGGCCAAGTCGGCATTAGATGCAAATGCTGGCCATAATCGCTATTGGCCACGCGCTCACTTTTATCTGCATAGAATCTGGCGACACTTTTACTTTGTTAAGTGGAGCCAATCAATTGAAAGCTGCGAGTTTTATTGTAAATGTCGTAATCGTAGACTTTCGCAATGGCCAACTCCTTGGCTATGTTGGGCTGGGCTGGGCTAGCAACATAATGCGGCAGCAGCAGCAGCTGCATGGCTTATACAACAACAATTGCAACAAAGAATTGCTGACAGAGATTGCATCGGTTGCATCTTCGTGTTGCTTTGAGCTTTTGTTTTTGCTCCACCTGCTCCACAAAATAATGCCCCGTTGACACCTTAGCCCAGTTATGGCTGCGGCCTGTAATGTGATGCGCCCAGCGCAGCAGCAACAGTGGCCCAGACACCAAGGCAGACAACTTTCATGTAACTTATTTATAAATGTATCTTGTATCTACATATTTTATATCAACTGTATCTGCGCTTCAATGAAGAGCTCAAAATTCCACTTAAAGCTCCGAAATGCATTCAAGTATTTGCATTAACTTTGCAGTTGATAGTCAGGCGAGTGCTCATTGACTTTTGCATATGTGTGCATGAGTGCATGTGTATCTGTGCCTGTGTGTGTGGCTGGGTGAGCGGTCGCCCAGCCAGTTAGTTTTGCAAGCTGCATCCGTGAGATAAACGTAGTCGAAAAAAAAACACGTTTAGGCCAACAATTTGCAGCGCGCTGCGTTTGAAATTAAGAGTGCCATAAATTCACACACAGACACACACACACTGCACTGAAATTGAAAAATTGCCAGGCAAACAAAACGTTGTCTAATCTGCGAGCCAGGAAGCTGCACAGACTCAACTCTATCAGCTGCATAATTTGTGATTGCAATTTTCGACAGGCAATCATCAAAAATCAACATTTCTTGCATCATAAGACACGCTGTCAATAGGCCAATTGGCTGCCCCAACTGGCTGCAATCAGCCATATATTCAATAAACCAACAAACATGTTGCAGGTTTCTTGCTTTTGTTGTTGTCTGTTTTACATACAAATTGGTCGTTGGACAAATCAAGCGATAATAGCGGCTAATCAATAAATGAAAATGGAACAAAAGACTTTGGCTCAGGGTCGTGCTCAACACATAAAATATGTATGTATATATATATCTAAATGTATGTATGTATATATATAAATATTATGTCTAGTTTTTTTAAGTATAACCTCGCTTTCATCAAGAACAAGATTTTTTATTTGTCATTCGAGCTGATTTATTTATTTACCTTTTAACGCTATAAGTGTTTGTGTCTTTTATATATATTATATATATATATATATATATATATATATATATATATATATATATATATATATATATATATATATATATATATATATATATAAATATATATATATTGAACTTAAATGTCTCAAAGCAGAGTATAAAAACTTGTGTTGCTTTTAGAAATATCTATTTCAATTTCTACTAATATTTTTTAAGCGATCTTTCTATATATCACTATTGATCAATTGTGCAGACCGGAGTTCAGGTATTTGCTGATGATTACTAATTAACAAATTAACTAAACTTAACACAAAAAATGTGAGATGCTTGTCTACAGCTACTTAAAGAACTTTCCACTTCTATCATCAGCAGACTTAGGCATCGCCTGCTGCTGCGTCTTCTTCTTGTCAAACTTGGTAAGCTGCAAGCATTTGAGAATGTTACAGCTGCAGAAGCAGCAAAGAGAGCAAAAGCCAGCAGAGTTACTTTTTTCAAATTTATCTTGTCATCAATAGCATACACTACTCTTACGTTACTTACTACGTACATTCAAATATTTTAAATGTGTATAAATATATATTTAAAATTAGTTTCTGCGAAGAGGTAATTCTTGAAGACTTACAAAATTTTACACTTTGAGCCATTCAGTTTAAAATGAAGTTAAAATCGTACAATAATAATTTACTATAAAAAAGTAATTTACTATAAAATGTAAACCAGACTTGGAAGGCAACAAACTAAATTTCCTATACAAAAATATTTTTATAGGCGACCAACTACTGTAATGCAATACTCTTAATGATTTTGGCGAAGAAAAATTCTATATATTTAACAAAAAAATATAATAAATTTATATTTGATTTATTTAAAAAAAATCTCTGCTTTACAAGCGATCAAAACTTCTGCACTTAAAGCGTTGTTTCTTCTAGTTCATGAACTATTTTTTAGAATATTAATACTTATTAGTATTATATTATTATATTAACTACAATTGAAAGCTTAACTTAGCTCCAATTAAAGCATTTTCGAATGCTCGCAATTTCAGTACTCATAAATATATATATTTGCTCAACTCGCAACGAGTTTCTTAACTTTCATGATATTTTGCCATAAATATTTTTACTTTCTATACATAATTATTGAATTAAATGAGATTCAAAACTCAAACTACATAATTAAGTAAATGGCGTGCTGTAATTATTATGACTCCAAACACAGAAAAGTAAAACCCAAAACAAACGCCAAACGAATAATTGCTCGAAAACGGCTAACACAATGCGGGTGTTTCTTTAGTTGTTGCCTCTTTGCTGTGTGTCTAATAAATAGCGAAATATTAACAAATACGCTTCGCAGAGCATGAAATCACAGAAATTACTTAGACCCAGTCGCGACTCTCCCACTTGCAACAACTCGGACACACATGCTGCGTGTCATGAAGCAAAAGGAAAAAACATCAAGTGAAAAGTAGAAAAGTCGAAATGTTTTTCAACATTGAAAAACTTAAATAATTGTTGTTACCACCAGGCTCTGTTAGGCTTTCCCAGTTTTTGTTTTTGCGCCCAACCAGATGCCATATGTGGCAGCAACAACAATCGTTTGATACACCAAATTCCAGTACCCATACAGACGGCTCTTGTCTATGAGAAATGACATGAAAAAAATGTGTAAGACCCGAAAAAGAAAAACTAGAAAAATGATTATGTACATTAAAAGTGGGCACTCACGCGCCAATGCAGCGGGGCAGGGGCAACAGCGGAGAGTGGAGCTTGGGGCAATGAAAAACATTCGGGTTGGCGACCGCAATTGGTAAGTTGTTGGGTGTGTGTTGAGTAGAGAGTGTGCTGTATAGAGAACGTGTTGTTTGCTTCCCGCTTTGTGGCTGTGCTGCAATTGTCGGTCGCACTCTGTCCGTCTGTCGTCTTCAAAATGGTTAAAGCAAACTTGAAAACCTGAAAACGGGCCGTCGCCCGTTGTCTGTCGTCTGCCGTCTGCTGTCGGCTGTCTGTGCCAAAAAGTCGTTTTCCAGACTGCCATGGGGTTTAATATGGTTTGTCTTTTGGTTGCCTACTCTGCTGGGATCATTTGTTTTCTTTCTTTTGGCCCCATCCACTTCTGCATCATTCAAAAGAATTTCTAATGTTTTTTCTTCGTGCTTGCCCCAAGCTGTGTTTTAGTTTCCTGCATTTAAGAAATCTCAAAAAAAAGAGAGGAGAAAGGGAAAGAGAAACTGTCCAGGTCGAAGCCCATATTTAGCTGACATGACCCAACTCCCAGCCTTAGTTACATAGCTTAGCTCCATTTCCACGCCCAACTAAACTGCAAAAGTCGAGCGAAGCAGGTTGTGGGAACCAAATTAGCATTTTTCACACGCTTAAGCATAACCCCGACAGAGCGTCAGTTGTAATTAAAGCAGTGAGCGTGTCGAGCAAAATGGGAAGTCGACAAACAGCTTTTACTACAAAGCCGACTCTCATGTCTGACACCGCGCCCAACTAACTACTTTGTTACACATTCGAAGGCATCGACCCGGAGGGTGGACGACTTAAGTACAGCATATCTGGGCCAGTTTTCTCGGTGGATCGGGAGACGGGCGTGGTGCGACTGCGTCAGGAACTGGATCGCGAGACACAAGATACCGTTGAGGTGATCATCAGCATCACCGATGAGGGCATCTACGGCACAGAGCCGAACACAGTGTCCCAGCGTCGGGAAATTCCGGTGCGCGACTACAACGATAATCAGCCCACATTTTACGGACGTCCCTATACGGCCAGCGTTAGCGAGTCGCTGCCCGTGGGCTCGGAGCTAACAGTGGAGCCAGCAATCATAGTTGTGGATCGTGATGACGGATTGAATGCGGAGGTGCAGATCAAATGTGTGCAGGTAGGTCAAATCTAAAGCAGATCCAACTCAGTTTTCACTCAAGCATCTCTCTCTTTGGCTTCTCTCTTCCAGGAGAACGACATATGCGACATCTTTGAGGTGCGAGCCGTCAAGTTGAGCGATGGCAACTTCACCGCGAGGGTTGCCTTGAAGCAACCTCTAGATTTCGAAAGCCGTCCCTCCTATATCATGACGATTTCCGCCTCAGACGGTGCTATAGAGAACCGTCTCACCTCCTTTGCCACTATTTCCATTAATGTCATCGACGTACAGGATCAGGCGCCAGTTTTCACCAACGCACCTTACTCTGCAACTGTGGCAGAGAATACACCAGCCGGTGTGAGCATATTGACTGTCAAGGCCATCGATGGCGATGTGGGCATTCCCAGGGAGATCTTCCTCTCGTTGGAGGATGAACCTTTTGGACACTTCGAACTGGTGCCCTTTGGCGATGCCAAGGAAGGCACAGCTATACTTCAGACTACAAGTGAGCCGTTGGATCGCGAGAATCCCGACATACTTCAAAATGGCGGCGTCTATGTCTTTTCCATTAGAGCGACAGAGCTCATAGACGGTGCCATACCCGCTGAGCACTCGGTTACACGAGTGACCATCGTTGTCACCGATGTCGACGATCACAGGCCAGAGTTCAGTGCCTCGCACTTCAACATTTCAATTGCCGAGAATCTTGCGAATGGCATGCCTTTGCCAGGTCTCTCAATTTTCGTGGATGATCGTGATATGGGCGAGAATAGTCGCTATCAGCTCAAGCTGCAGGACGTCTCCAAGGCAGCTGGCGTATTCGCTGTATCGCCAACTGAGGCACAGGGAAGAACACCTGTTGTGGTCAAAGTGCTGAATGCCAGCCAGCTGGACTATGATAATCCTGCGCAGCGCACGTTCGAATTCGACTTGGTGGCCACGACGCATGGCGTGGAGCAGGCAAAGGCACGTGTGGAGGTCCATCTCTTGGATGCCAATGATAATGCTCCAGTGTTTCGGCAGCAAACCTATCGCTTTACAGCGCCCGAGAACCTAACTATCGACTCCCTGGTGGGCATAGTAAATGCCAGCGATGCAGATTCAGCCGAGTTTGGTCACGTGCAATATGTACTCAAGGGCTTCGGAGCCGACAACTTCTATATTAATCCAGAGACCGGCGGCATTTATCTGCTGAGAGCCCTGGACTATGAGAAACAAAGCACGTATAGCCTGACTGTGGTCGCTGTCGATGGCGGCGGTCGCGAATCGAACGCAAATCTCTATGTGGACGTACTCGATGTCAACGACAATCATCCGCGTTTCGAGAGCACCGAGTACAGTCGAACCATTCGAGAGGGCGCCTCCATTTTTGAGCCACAGTTCTTTGTGCGCGCTCACGATGCCGATGGTCCCAGCCAGGGCAACGGCAGGGTGAAGTACGCCATAGTCTCGGAGAACAGCATAGCTGGTAATGTCTTCCGCATAGAGCCCGAAACAGGCGAAATAACGCTGCAGAAGGCAGCCCGGTCCATGGATACGGAACGTGGCGAGTATGAGCTGGTTGTGTCTGCCACAGACTTTGGTAAGCTTTGGATCTTATGACTCGAGTACTTACTTACTTATATATATATATCTCGTGCTTTCAGGCATTCCCCCACTCACTAATACTACGCGGGTGCTGATACGCGTTGGCATCTCTGGCAATCAGCGGCCCATTTTCAAGGGTCACTTCCAAAATGTCGAGAATTTGCCAGTGATTGGTCCGCCCAGTTATCGTGTGTCCATACCAGAGAATGCCGCTCCAGGCTATAATGTGACAACAGTCTCTGCGCATGATCCTGATGGTCTGGACAGCCTGCTCAGGTATCGCATTGTGGGTGCCAATGATAACTTCCAAATCAATGAGTTGTGAGTCTACTTAAAACTTATCTTAATCTCAGCTGATGCTTAGCTTCTTGCTTTCAGCTCCGGCCTGATCACTGTGTCGCCTCAAGCTCGCATTGATCGCGACTTGAACATGAATAGCTTTGAGATAATTGTGAATGCTGTGGACTCTGGCACACCCATACCGGAAACAGCAACCACCACGGTCTATGTGAATGTCAAGGACATCAACGATGAGAAGCCCAAGTTCGAGCAGAATAGCTATGCTGCCTATGTCTCGGAGCGCACAGTTGTTGGCGAAAGCGTCCTGCGTGTCAAGGCAATTGACAAGGATCTGAATTCACGTCTGGAGTACAGTTTGCAGGGACCAGTTCAAGCTACCACCAAGGCGGGCGTCAGCATTGCCAATCGCAGCAATTATCCCGTGCAAGAGGCCTTCCGTGTGGACAAAGAGAGCGGCGAGATCTTTGTGAACAGCAGCCTGCGACACGATGTGGCTGCCATTATCATCTTTACCGTGGCTGTGCGAGATTTGAACGCTGAAGTGGATCCGGAGAAGCAGGTGGACACCACTGAAGTAACGGTGTATGTGCAGTCCTTCAAGGACAAGGACCCAGTATTTAAGAATCCCGGCTGGAGTAGCTCCCGTCCCGTAGTCAACATCAAGATCAAAGAAGAAATGCCCATAGATAGCGCGCTGTTCATACTGCAAGCCGAGGATCCGGTAACCGAGCAGCCAATAACCAGCTTTGAGCTAGTCACACCCAAGGAGCTGGAATATTTCCACATCTCTGAGCGCACTGGTGAGGTGATTTTAAAGAAACGCCTGGACTACGAAGAGCTGGCAGGATCAGGCAGCGCCGAGTTCGAGCTGCAGGTGCGTGCGAATAGCGCCGATCGTCAGCGAAGCACCATCAGCAGGGTGAATATCACAGTCGAGAATGTGAACGACAACAGTCCGACCTTTGACCAAAGCTCCTATCAGGCCACCATTATTGAGAACAAGGGCTATCCGGAGCCCGTGCTGCAGGTGAAGGCGCAGGATAAGGATGCTGCGCTCAACGCACGGGATGAACGCTTGGGTTATCACAAGATCATCTACTCACTGCAAGGCGAATATGCAATGCTCTTCGAGATCAACAATCTGACTGGCCAGATCATTGTGGCTCGCAATCAAACCATTGATCGGGAGCGCACGCCCTCCATTCGACTGCAAGTGAAGGCGGAAGACTCGCCGGGCAAACCAACCGATGCCAAGCAAAGCGTTGCGGAGCTGCTGATCGACGTGCTGGATGTCAATGACAATGCACCCGAGTTCACCAAGAAAGCTTACAGCACTGTCATACCAGAGAACGCCCTGAAGATGGAGAGTGTCCTGCAACTGGAAGCGACCGATGCCGATGAAGGCCCTGGCGGCGAAGTACGCTACGAGCTGGTTAACGAAGGCGACGCCAATGGATTGTTTAGCATCAATGCGCAGAGCGGACTTCTGACGACACGTCGCAATCTGACGGGCAAGGGACGTGCAGAGGCTTACGTGTTGATTGTGCGCGCCCAGGACAATGGCAACCAGGTGCCCAAGCAGTCCAGCCTGTCCACAGATGCCGAAGTGCGCATATTTATAGGCGATGTAAGCGCCAACGATGGTGTGCCATACTTTGTGGCGCCACGAGTGGGTCAAATGGCAAATGTGACTGAGGTAAGTCCGGATGCTTAGGAAAGAAGGAAAGACTGAACTGACTTTGAATCCTCTTCCAGAACGCGGCAGTTGGCGCTCCAGTCTTTCAAGTGATTGCCAGGGATCCCGACGATGACAGCACGCCCTCCGGCACCATCACTTATCGCATACTGCCCGATACGCCAGATGCTGAGTCCTTTGCCATAGACACACACACGGGACTGATAACGACACGTCAGGAATTGGACCGGGAGGAGAAATCTATGTACAAGGTGCTGCTGGAGGTCAGCGACAATGGACAGCCAAAGCAGTCGGTCACGCGTATCCTAAAGATTGAAGTGCTCGACATGGATGATCATGTGCCCCGATTTGCCAGGGAGATTGTGAGTAATAATAAAACTAATTTCATTTCCATTGATGAAAGTAAATTGCCAACAGGACGCTGGTCCGATACCCATGGCCGTGCGAGAGGAGCAGCCAGCCGGCACCATTGTGGGCAACTTCAGTGCCATTGACGAGGACATCGGCGAAAATGCTGCCATTGACTATGCCATCATCGAGGGCAACAACGAGCAGCTCTTCACCATCGAGCGCAATAACAACAGCTTGGCCATATTGAAGACCAGTCAGCCCATTGATCGGGAGCAGGTTGAGTCCTTTACGCTGACTATCAAGTGCTTGAAGTTGGGCGAGCCCGCGTACAAGTATATTGGCGACGTCTATGACCGCCAGGATCCCTCGCATCTGCGCATTACTGTTAAGATTCTCGATATTGACGACAATTTGCCCAAGTTCGAGAATCCAGACTCCACGGTGGGCATTCGCATCAATGTGCCCATTGACACGGTGATAACCACGCTGCGTGCCACTGATGCAGATGCCGAGGCAGCGCCCATAGCGCTCTCCATTAAGAATGTGACATTTGTGCCGCAGTTCTACAAGCGCAGCCGCCAGCTGGCCACGGGCAATCTGCAAACGTTGTTCACGCTCAACAATCGCACAGGTGAGCTGCGCACGGGCGGCTCCTTTGCCGACTATGTGGATGGGTATTTCCAGATGCGTGTGTGCGCCAATAACTCGGCCAAGGCCAAGAGGCAGACGTACAGCAACATCAAAGTGTTCGTCATACGCGATAAGTCGCTGCTGAAGTTTGTCTTCGCACGACCTCCGAATGAGATACAGCACAATATACGGCCCTTCCAGGAGCAGCTGCAGAAGAAGTTGAAGCCGCTTGGCCTGGAGCTGCATGTGTTGGACACGCAGGTGTTTACGCGGGCGGACATGAGTCTGGACTTTACGGCAACCAGCTCGTGCTTCCAGATGTTCCGCAACGGCGCCGCATTATCGCTGAGCGAAATGCAAAAGCTGATGAACTCCAAGGAGCTGCGACACGAGCTCATCGACATCTATGCGGCGTATGGCGTGAGTGATCTGGAGTCCTGTTCGGTGCGACGCACTCATACGGCGGCTCTCTTTGGCAATCTGCTAATGTCGGCGGGCGCCTGGCTGGTCATACTGGCGGCGCTCATAGGCATCGCAGCGCTTGTCTCGCTCTGCACGGCCTGCTGCCTGAGAAAGAAGTGAGTGAGAATACCATATTGAGAGAGAGAGAGGGAGAGAGAGCATCAATCAAATACCTTTTCTTCTACAGATTCAAGCGTTACAGCAAGCGTAGCTTGCAGGCAAGTCTTCGCACACCAACGGAGCATACGCCCACCTCGTATAGCTATTCAATGCCCGCCGTGCTCTACTCGGAGCCCATCTATGGACCCTTGTAGCCCCCACTCATATTCTGCACGCTCAGCCGGAGCAGCCAATGGCAATGCTGAAGAACTCAATTCTAGTAAATTAGTGCTCAAGACTCAAGACCCAAGCCGCAGCCAGAGCTCAGAGCGGCTTGGGAAGAGCGGGTCAAAACAGTCCATACATAAGCATTAGCATACTGTGCATGTGATCTAGTATGTACATAATATACAACTATGTATAGAGTATAGAGTACGTCTGTGTAATATTTAATTCTGTATAAAGTCCAAACGAAACTTTTAGCCCTAAGTTCTCCTATAAAATAGTAAAGCGAATCGCAAGTCATTTTATTTTTATATGTGTCATCTGCAGTAGAGATTTTTGCAACGCCTGAAATAAATATATTAATTGTGTTTGTATTTTAGTTAAAATAAATGGCATATATATATATACGAATATATAGAACTATATCTTATCTTTATTCTCTGGCAAATGCGTAACAAGTGCAAAATAAATATTAACTCGATTTTCAACAGGAATTTCCACATCCTTCACACGCTTCAGTTAACGTGCTCAAACTAAAACTAAATACATATATTTATTTATGCATATGCTCTATGTATTTAGTTTGGCTTTTTTCGTTTTTGTTTTTGGAATGTGAACATGTGTGCAAATAAATTGTATCTACAACAAAATACACGAATACTTGGCAACACTCCATGGACATGCAAAGTGATACGGCGCACTTAAATATGTGAAAGTAAGTCAACAAAACATTATACTAAACAGTCAAGCTTATGGCCAACTCTTGGAGTCTCTAATGTGCCACGATATCATTTAACTATGTTAAGGTAGCCAAACGTTGGGTTGGCTTTAACTATGAAAGTTTCCCTGTTGCCCTTGAAAGACCTTTAAGCTCTTTATAGTTTCCTAAGCTGCATGATTTTTATTCAAAATGAAAAGTATTTGAGTTATAAATAATGTGTATGTCAGACTGTATTTTATATTTGTCATTTCTATTATGGTTAGCTACGCTCTTTATGTCCACCTGCTGCTACTCGCTTAAGGCGTAGTCAGATTGCATGTAAGAGCTATAGATTCTTCTGAAAGAAGTAAAAAATTTTTAGGATAACAAATTAAACTTATTCTAAACTTTATTTCATCTGTTAGATTTTTATCAATTTATATCACTGTTAAGTCTTATATAGAGAACATCACTTGAAGAGTCCGTATTCAAGCCGTAGTCCCCAGAAGCTGAAGAAGGACAGTGCCCAAGGTGCCGCCAAGTCATCTTTAACCAGCTGGAGATTTGTTTCTAGATCGTTTCATTACCAAGACAAAAGTTTACAATATCGAGTCAAAATTAATTGATTCCGAATTTTTTGATTATTTTCAAACATTCTGTATTCTGAAGCATATAAATATCAATCATCAAACCAAAGCTATGGTTATGGCCTCTGTAGAAATTCAGTGGAACATCAACAATTCTAATTTCCAGCATCTAATATTAATTCCTTAAATAAGAAAATGCGTATTCCAATTAAAATCTGTGTGCTTATTTTAATTGCAAATTGGAACTTTGAATGTTGAGTTTAACGTCTAACAATTTATATTTTATATAGAAAAAAAGTAAAAACTCATAAATAATAAATGTTGTTAAAACTAATGTGCGGCGCTCATTAGCCTCAGGCTGAGGTCCTTGCTGAGTGCTGCAAGGGATGATGACGATGATGCTGCTGGTATACAACAACAAGGCCAAAGGGTGCAAGGGTGTGTGTGTGTGTGTAGATGAACTGATCAGGGGTTGCTGTTTCATGGCAGCTCAAGCATTATAGTTAACTGTAGCTGCTGCTGCCACGTCTAACGAGTTATTTTTATAACTTTTTAAAACGCAACGACAACAACAACAACAAGAACATCGTCAACATCAGCAAATCAAGTGTAGTCAGACTTCACTCTCATGAGGGTTGTCTCTGGCTTGCTTAATTACACCAATATATATAGAGGCTTCGCCGGTTTCTGGAAAACTCAAAGTACTAGCGAAATTTCTATATAAATTCCGATGCAATTAGCATAAAATCCAACTGGTATTTGAGTTCGCTTTTGAAATGTTGCCAAATCACCTTCCACTTGAACATTGATTGATGATGTCGATCGTAAATCACACTTCAAACTCGAGTGACAGTGCGACGTCCCCTTGTTGTGCTGGGTGGCGCCAGCGTTGAGTTAACTAAGCCACAGTAATCAGCATTTAATGCACATGATACATGAGGCGCCAGCTCCAAGAGGAGCCTGTCGTACCTATTCCTACACATCAAGTCGCGCACCCTAAGAGCCATTGGCTCGCAGGTGTCCAGTCGAATGTTGTTAAACACACATCAACTTTTTACCCCAGATTCAGTTAGTCAGTGTGTCAGAGTGGCAAGGGCAGCTGGCCAGATGTCCAACTTTAACGGACAAACAATGTGAACAATTATTGAGCAAGCCGAAGTACGAAGGACGTTCTCGCATGAGGGAAGTCGCTCATTTCCTTAACATTTGCGGCAAAAACAATTTGTGTGAGGATAATGAATGAATACGCGGAGAAAACTAGAAAATGTGAATGACTCATAAATGCCCTGCATATTTGCAGTAAATAAAATCTAATATGAGATGTGGGATATGTACAGAATGAGATTTAAGAATGTTCCATTACGAATTACATTTGATTACATTAGAATAGAATATATATCATATTGCTCTCAAATGTTGATCTATCGATCAATGAACCACTAATATCTTTAATCAAATATTATTATCAAGCTTTGTTTCTCATCAAAATCTATACCTCTTTATATCATAAATTAAAATACATTAGACATAACAATGACAAGTTTCAATATAGAAACTTGTGCAGCTTTTAAGGAAAACTTCGCCTGAACTAAGCAATTATAAACTTCACTTCTATTTGTTGTCCAATAAAAACAATGTACCTTCTGCAGTTCCGACTCTTCCAGGGTATTAAGTCTTTGCGTGCCAGTACCATATATCTAGCTAAATCATAACGGTCGCTTGCTGTCACTGCCAACTCCGAGTTGGCCCGTTCGAGGTGCCATAAAAAGCGACTTAGGGCAACACCCCGCGTCGAGCAATTCACGCAAATGTAATTGCAGCTAACAACTTGTTAGGTTTCTCCTTTCTTTCATATTTTTTGGGGGTAAAATTGGCAGTTTTTCGCTCTATTTTTTTACAGCAGCACAATGGACGCCTAATCAGGGGATTTTCGCGCAGTTTTTCGCTAAACCGGAAGTAGGTTTTAGAGGCGCAGCGGAAGTCTAAGCTGCTGCGGCTTAGGCACAAAAGCAAAATGTGAATGCGAATGGCAATCACAAATATTTTCAGCTCGGCCCTTTCACTCAATCAATGGTTGTTTACATTAACAATAACTGGGCATGAAACCGTTGTTGTGCCGACCTTTTAGCACCAGCCTACAAATTCAATTTATGCACTGCAAAAAAATAAAAAACTAAGCAAGAACAGCAGAAGAGGAATGTTAACAAATATCAACCATAAATTACAAATGTCACATTCATTATGCACATGGCGCTGCATATTAATTAGGCTGATGCTCTTGCCTTGGCTCAATATATTTATGACCACTTGATGAACTGCAGCCAGAGTTAACTCAAGCGCTTTTTATTTGGGGTTGCACTCCGGCTTTCGTCCTGGTTTCGTCCTGCTGCTCACAACTCATTTGCATAACAATCAACTCGTAGTTTGTGGTACAGCCTCAGCTACTGACTATATGCATGCCTCTTGCTGTTGCCGGGGCAGGGCTCTCTAATGGTTTCCATACACACAGCCAGCGGGTGTGAAGTTGTAAAGTTTAATGTATTGTTTGTCTAACAGTTTATTCATTTGGAAAAGGAAAAGGAAATATTCGTTATGTGATTGGAATATGAAATATAACTATGTCTGCAGCGCTCTGTCTCTCCCTCTCTCTTTCTCTGGGGTTGCAAATAACGAATGACATTTCCGACGTCTGCCAAGCGTCTAATAGGTAAAACCATTTCCAATTCGTTGACCTACAAAATTTCAGGTAGAAGTAAAATAAATCAAATGTTGCAGAAGTCTTTTGTGGACAGAAAACAGCAGAAAATTTAACTGAAAACTAAATTTTAAGATATATAAAATATATCTTGACTTTGATATAATAACAAATATGATTCTAGCTTTAAGTGTGTGGAAGATGTATCCTTTGCCATGAGAGCAATCTAATCTAAGCACTGTATAAGACTACGAAGCTTAAGTCGATGATCCAAAAGGACGAAGCAAGACGACGTACCAAGGAGAAGAGCCTAAACAACGATTCCAGATGATGATTCATAAAGGAAATCCAAGAATGAGGAGCCAAGACAAACATACTAAATCTCAGAATAAGCCTAACAAATCTACTCTCGTGAACTATATACTATAACTATATATACTATATTATATACTAAAAGCCTTTCCTTCTACTACTATAATCAACTATCAGTCAAGACAATATTGTTCCACTCGCATACATAATACCTTCATTAGCCTGAACTACAAATCTACTTAGTCAGTTCCTCTACCAGAAACTACGCTCACCTCTATTACAAGAGCAACTCGAGCTATTCAAATAGTTGCTCAGCATCTTATCTCAATTCGAATCATGTGTATCAAATATGATTTTTGATTTACATGTGTTTACATTTTTTGCGTTCCACTTTCTGTTGCAACAATGTGACACAAATCTGCTTAAATTTGACTAAAACCGCTCAGATCGGATTAAAATCGCAATCAAAACTTGTGAGCACAGTTTACAGTTTACACTCATACACACACATAGAGAGAGAAGGTCTAATGCTTATCCTGACAGGACGAGCATGCACACAAATGCGACAGATTGGCTTCCTCGGCGCGGCAACAAATGTAACAAAATACTCGAGCGGCTGTTTGTTTATCCAATGTTTTTCGGTTAGATGAGCACACAACTCAAGGTAGGGCAGGACCAAAAGGACCTACATAACATATATATATATATATGCAAGCAGCGTCACAGATTTCACAGATAAACCAATTCGAGCAGGGCAATGAATCGCTAAAAAGGTCGAGCAACTCAGCTCGGCTCGGCTCGGGTCGGCTCAACTCGACCCACCAGAGCGAATTTTGTTTGCTAAAAAGAAAGGGGTTTCAGCACATGTGCCGCAGAAGGGTTAAATTCTGATTTCTACTCATTTTTTCAGAACTGCTGAATGCCGGAGCAATGCTAAAAAGGCGTAAAACAATCAATTCGCCAAATAAAATTCGATTTGCGATTTTTGCCAATTTTGATATCGGAATCTGGAACCAAACAGACAAATTGCCACGTTTATGCTTGAGCTAGAATTAGGTGGAATAAAAAGCTCATAATTTATGATCGCAAATGTCAATTCTTTTATGGATTTGCTAGACTGTGAGAGGGTAAAGTGTAGAACTATATAGAGGCATAAGGTTTTTATAGATGGAGGAGTGAGGTTTTAGAAGTTACTTGGAGATAAAAGACAAATCTATAGAAACGGACTATTTTGTGTGATCAAAGCGAGAGAGTCGCATAGAAGTAACTTGTTTTGAAGAGATTCCTTCAAGAGATTGCTGAGGTTGCGTTTCTACCCTGTGCTGAGTACATATTACAAGTAATTCAAGCAATTGCTTCCTTTTTTTTCATATCGCAGCATTCGCAAAAGAAATAAAATTTGTTGCTCAGTGGCTCATATATAAATCGGACCCAAAGGACCTGCACTTGACGCAGCACGCATTGTGTTTGCTCCTTGCACCGTGAGCTGGCAATTTGTTTCCATTTTGGTTTTCTTATCGTCTTAGGGCGATCGGCAAATTGTTTAACCAAAGCCTCGCTGAGCATTAGCATAGTCATATAAGCAGACAGCAGGGACTGACAGCGAGATGTATTCGTAATGCCGTTATTGATCCGTCGATAAGCATCTGCAGCGAGCTACCCCGTGACACAACTAGCAGAGCAGCACGCTAATGATGCCCGTCCTTTTGCGCTCCGTACGTCCGTACGTCCGCCTGTCCAACTGTTGTCCTTTATGGGCATCACCCTCAGCGCCAGTTCCTTTGGCATTGAATGCAGCTTAGCGGCTCGCCCGCTGCGTATTTGCGCCTGTGACAACGACAATATACTGGCTATAATAATGATTATTGTTAAGATAAACCCCGACACCTTCAACAAAGCTGCACAAATGACAAGCGCAGCTTAGCGACTCCAGCTCTCTCTACTCGCCTTAGAGATGTTGCATTCCAACAATATAATTCAGCATCTTCTACGAGTCACCCTTTATTTTTTCCTGTAACGGAAAATGTCAGTCAGTCAGGCAGTCAGTCAGTCGACTCAGTGTTTCGACTCTTGCCGGTTCATTCAACTAAATAATTTGAGTGGCATTCATGCAGGTCCACAGCCACTTGGCTCATGTTTCAGGACTCTCGGCTGCTGCTGCTGCTGCTGCTGCAGCCGTTGTTGTTGCTTTTCCTGTTGTTGTTGGCATTGGTACATTCGTTTTGTAGTCGTAATTCTGTGGCAGGTGACGGACAATCTTCCATTGTTCAACTCACCCCATGTCGAATTGTAAGGGCGCAAAAATGCCCCCTACAATAAACAAGCTGCACACACACACACACGCATATACACACATTCATTTTATGTGCACTGCAATATACAATATTTATTTGAATTTAAGTCTTTTGTTTGAAAATCTGAAATCTGCACACACATACAAAGGTACACACACATGCACATGCACAGCTCAGGGTTGTTTGCCTTGACTTTAGCAATTTTCATTTCCACTTACATTTGCTGCTTACCTAAGCAGCACTTTCTGCAGTAGTTTGTTTTCTTTTTCGGTTTTTTTTTCAACTTTATTAGCAAAAAATAAATTGTAATAGTTTACATCAAATTCGGCTTAAGATAGAATCGAAATATATATATATTTATATATATAAAACCTGATTTTCAAAAATGACTAGCCCTCGTTTCTCTTAGCAATTGCATTGTTAACCCAACCAACTAACTAAATCTAGCTAATGCCTCATCTTAAATATAACGCTTAGCTATGGCTAGCTTATGATCTTAATATAGAAATATATGGCTTGCTAGCAAAGGTACATGGATGCTCTGACTAAATTTACATGGACAACCGATGCGTTTTGTATTAGATTTTAAAATCAAAAAGTGTAATTTATACATTAATTAATTTTAAAAAAATATAAATTAAATGTAATTTATATTTGAATTTTAATTAAATCGTATAGAAAACACTTTTAGTTTTAATAGTTCATTTAGTAAGCAACGCAAACTCTCAACTAGTTCGAATCATGCTGAACTGATTCATTTGAACTTTGACTAAGGCTTTGTGGGGCTCACTAAATAAATGTAATCAAATTAATAGTTAAGACCAGCTGCTTAGCATGGCCTCAGCTATCAATTTAATGCTTAATGCAAAATATCAACTGATTGCGAGCCGTAGCGGGACTGAGAGCTGGAAATGCTATTGGCATAGCTGCTCTAGGCAAGTCACATTTAATCTATATAGCAAAAGGTCAAAGGTGAGTCACTAGTGCAGCTCTTGAGCTAATCCTTTCCAGCTGGCAGTGCCACTTAAGGGTCAGCACATTGTCGAACATATCACCCAGAGAAGATAGACACCCGCATTGATGCCCGCAAAACTATGCTATACCTGAAACTGTTTATAGTGCAATTGCTGCTGCTGCTGCTGCTGCTGCTGCTGCTGATGTTGATGGTGATCCTCTTGGTACTCCTTCCAGGGCGGCGTTTGTGTGTAGAAACTGCTCTGCTGATGCAGACCCGACTCTGGCATAGCAGCTGCCTCAAAGCTGCTGCGAAACAGATCATATTTCTCCTGGGAAAAGTGAGACACAGCCGAAGCTGTGGGCTGCGGACTAAGCTCCGACTGTGACACCAGCAGCTGCTGCTGCTGCTGCTGCTGTTGCTGCTGTTGATAGTAGCGCATGCTGCTGCCCAGATCAAAGCCAGGTGGCTGATAATCCATGGCCTGACCTGGTTGATAGTGCATCGGCGGCGTCTGCTGTTGATGTGGCCCATAAGGAAAGATGCGTCCGTTGCCAAAGATGGGATATGGCTGTGGGTTCACAAAGAGCGCATCGAATAGCTCCTTGGTGATGCGCTCGCCACTCAGCGTAAAATTCTGCAACTTCTCCAGGTCCAGGTTGATGGTGTTGCCACTCTCCAGCACCTGTTCCAACGCAAAGATGTAATTGTGGGCAAAGCGCAGTATTTCGATCTTTGTCAGTTTCGTCTCCTCCGGCAACGAGGGCAAGGTGACCCTCAGCTTCTCGAGCGCATCGTTGAGCGTGTGCATGCGATTGCGCTCCCGATCGTTGGCCTTCATGCGCCGGAACTTCTTGATGCGCACCACCTGCAGGGGACTGCGCGAACGAGTCACACGATTCTTGCCGACGGCATATTTACGCTTCGGTCGCGGTGCATTCGGATCCTCTGGCGATTTCACCGGCGTGCTCGTCAGCTGCGGCTCGAAGCTGTTCGTTGCAGCGCGACTGTTCAGGTGCTCCACCAGCGTGCGACCGCTGCGCGTGCTGTGGTTGCTGCTCGTGTCCAGCAGACCCACAAAGCCAGCAGGTGGCGAGTTCATCTGCATCTCCCAGTTGCCGGCATAGGCCAAAGGAGCTGGAGCTTGAGCTGGCGGCGTGGCTCCGCAGTGCTCGCCAAATTCCAAACGTCGACGTGAGCTGGTCTGGGCTTCCGTTTCAAAGCTCTTCTCATAGCCGCTGTCAAAGGAAGCATCATCGTCATCATCCTCATCAAACTGAAACGATTGCGCTGGATTGTAGGCATTGTAGCAGGCGGACATGTTGAGATCGTAGTAAAGTAATTTTAGCTTGAGCTGTATCTAAAACACGATTTCAACTTGGCGCATTATATATATATATGTGTTTTTCTTTTTCTCGTATATAAATAATATTCTTTTTGTAGCCTTAACCGTTTCGCGTGCCCGCACCAACTAAAAGCTGAACAGGAGTGCGCAATGGTTTTATGTGCAGCCATTAGAGAGCTGGGCGAGCTGGTCGAGCTGGTCGAGCTGGCTGGTAAGCCCGCTGATTTAGACGGGTAACAACCCTCGACGCATTGTCGTCGGTCGCGACGATGGCGGCGCCATGGCACAAATCCCAACAGATATGCGCGGCAGTGATTGCCACTCGCTCTCTAGCCCAAAGGGGGTTGTACACACACAGCCCAAACACACATACACACGCACACAATCAGACAGCAGCAGCAGCAACCACTGCCAGTTAAAACACGAGCATTTTTTACGCTTCAACGTAAGCCAATAGGAAGTATGAGTGCGCTGTCTATCTCTCTGCTCTGCTCTGTTCGGCAGCGAGGATCAGCGCATAAAGTTCAAAGCGGCATGCACTCTGTCGCTTATCAACAGCCTGTGTCACAACATTGTGCCACATCTTGTGTCCACTTCATATCAATTGCGCGCAACTCTTTATTCTTATTATTTTTGCAACCGCAATAATCATTACGGGCTTACGCCTGTCGCTAAGCGAATTACCGGCACGTGGCCAAAACACTTCCGTGGGCGCAACATGTGAAGCTGCACTGTGGCACGTGCCAACGAATTGAACTAGAGCTTTGTGGCAAAAGCCACTTCACAGCTGCCTGTGCCCCACGACAGCGATTGCTACTTTAAGTGGCTGCCACATGCCGCACATGCCCCCGCTCACAATGGGCACGTGCAGCTTTGTTATGATATGTGTTCCAATTGCGGGTAAACTGTTGACACGAGCGAACGCTTTTTTAAAGTGAGTTGAAAGCGACACAGCTCAGCGTTAATTGAGGGGCCTGAGGGATGCTAATTGTTCCAAATTGATGACAGTTGCCACGCTTTATGGCACTTAAAAACTTCTTAGACCTATCTTGCTAGTAACTGAGTTAGGAGATATATCGGAATATCCTCCTTTTTTTGAAGGTTGAGATTTGTACTGTTTAGCTTATATAATAACTATCTATAAAACATTTTTATGAACAAGCACGAATTATACAAACATTTTCTTCATATATCTAATATATAAAGAGAATATTTGTATACTGTAACCTACGACTACTGCTGTTAATAACTATTCTCAATTGGAAAAATCATTACAGAGTTAAAGAAAGTTAACTGAGAGTTAGTAACTACGCATCAGCCCATATTAACGTGATGAATAAAAATCAGAAACTTAATTAGTATTATTGTCAGTTCTTCAAGATTTCTTAAACCAATTCTTTAATATCTATTTCATATACATTTCTGTAAACCGAACTTCATTTAGATTTGATACAGCACGTCAAATATCTTAGAACTTGAATATTTCACAAGTTCAAATTTTTGTAGTCTTAGATAACTTGCAGAAAACTAAAATAGTTTAAACAGCTTAGAATAGTCCAACTCATTCAACAGAATAGAGAACTCTTCTAAGCCCAAGTTTAAGCATACATAATTTTTGCGAATTCCATTCAAACGTCTCTACAGTTTAACAAATCCTATTAAGTATTAAATTAAATATTTTTTTTATTTATTTTGCTAATACTTTTAGTTTATTTACATTTTTGGTCATATTTATTACAAATCTCAAGATATCCAGAGGAACGCCGCCAAAACAGTTGAGCATAAACAGATTAGATATGCCAAAAGATATTCTTGCCAAAGTGCAGATTAAAGCCAAGCAATTGCTTCTTGTCGGATATGGATTACAGCCGTCAAAATTCACACCACTCGACACGTGTGGGTTGGTAGCTCAAGTGGCAACCGTTGATCGGGCGCGTGTGGCTAATTGAAGGTTTTGAGTAAGTATAATGCGTATCAATTATACAGTTAATTGAAGTGTGAGCGCTTATTAGGTTTGCATGAAAGTATGTGAATTATTATGGAAGCTGGCGCATTCATTTTCCACACAATTGTCGCCTCGGACTCACGCATATGCAGACGCACACACACAGGCACAGACATAGCCTCGAGGCAGTGTTAACTAAATAAAAGCCATGCTAGCTTTGTCCCTGTCCATGAGCTAGCTTATGTACATATATAATTTCATCAAACATCCTAACACGGTCCGAGCCAAAGCAAATACAGGCGCAGCTACAAATATAGATTTGTGCCTCAGGCAAATTGCATTCTAACAAGCGACGCAAATTCAATTTAACAAGCTGCCTGTGTGCCCAATGGTTGCCCCTGTTTTGTGTGCGTGTGCGTGTGTGTGTGGCGTGCAACCCCGACTGCATTCGTTTCGGTCACGTAGCCCCGAGCCAAGCGTGTGTGTGAGAGAGAGAGAGAGGGAAAGAAACCAAAGAAGAGCATCGGGTAAGCATCTTCAGAAAGGTACAATTTCCTCCTCATAGAGTGGATCCAATTCCAAAGGCAGCACCATAGCTGGAAACCGACTCACAGTCACGGGTACGGGCACGGGCGATCGCGACGATGACGACGAGTCCGAGGAGAGCTCGATGACATCCGTATCGCCCGTCACGTGCCTCACTTTAGGTGACTTTGGCTGATTGACTTTGATTTTCTGCTGGCTCCATTTGTGACCGCGTCGACGTCGTTCCCTCGAGGCTGAACACGCCGCCTCCTCCGGATCTGTTGAGGTGGAAGAATCAGAGGTGATGTGCTTAAATCGTTTCAAGTGCACCGAAGGTTCAGCTGAATCGGATGTTATGTGCACGAACTGCTTGCTGCCTTTGCTTCTTCTCCCGCCCTCACTCTGCAGCTCCGACGTGGACGTCGATGCGTTGCTGTCGTCAGTATGGTTGTGGCTCCTTTTGCTCCTCGATGAGGATCTGCTGTGTTCTTGTTGCATTTTCAATTCACGGTAATAGTGGCGGAAATTAGTACGCTTCACACGCACCCGCAACCCACGCAGCTTCTCAATGTCCTGTGATGAGAGCATGTCCAGACGCACCTCTACCTGCCGGGTCAAGCATTCCTCAATTAGTCGCGCATTCACATCGCTAACTGAAGTTTCAGATGAACTTGGCTCGGGACTTGCACTGAGATTTGTTTTGAGTCGTCTGTAATTTTCATCACTTGGCTGTTTCTTTCGTTTAGCTGGCTTCTTCGCTGTTTCCGTCCGCTCCTTCGTCGCCAAGGCAGTCGGCATTGCTCTGGCGGTGGCCTCATCCCTGGTTAGAAGCTTTCCTCTGAGCTGTAACACTTCTGTCTCCATAGTAAAATCAGAAGTTGGCGCCGGCTGGGGCGGAATCACTTTACTTACGCCAGTTACAGGTTCAGATTGTCCCTCCTCGAACTCGTTCGCATCGTGCATGGCCATCATTGAGGTTCCAGACTGCAAGCTGTCCGTTTCACTGTTGTAACGGCTGCTGGTGCGTGAGCTCTCCATTTCCTTGATCGTACCTAGCTGACCAGTCGTTGCTGTTGTGCTTCGTCTCAGACCCTGTAAACTTTTGAATTTGCTCAGTAGCGAATTGCTCTCCATGAGCACATTGTCATCTACTCGCACGTTGAGCTGATCGACCTTCTCAATGCTCCAAATGTCAGCAAACGCTTTAAAGCCACTAGTTTCGTTTGTGTACTTGGCCTGCGACTGCAGCAGCTCACTAATCGAACGCTTTGGCACGATTGACTCCTCTGGTTGTGGTTTCGATGTCCCAGCTTCGAGTGTTGATTGCTCTGCTGCTGCATCAGCCACAGGTGAACGACGTCCACTACGCATGGCTCTATCCATGTCGGTGATCATCGTATTGGCCATAAGAGCAGCTGCTCGTATACGCGTGCGCCTTCCAGAACCTGTATAATAGGCCTCTGACTCATCAGATTCCTGATCCTCCTCCTCTTCATCCTCAGAGACTGTTGGGTGTAAGTCTGTGTTAATATGGCTATCTATGATTGTAGGATTTGTTACATACCTTCCTTCCAGAACTTAATTGGTATTCGGTGGCGTTTTCTATCGCGCCCAGTCTTGTCACGATCTGTTTTCTGCGCCTCATCATCCTCATCGGCGCTCAAGTCACCATCTGCCTCAGCTGTGTTTACAGCATTCTCGTAGCCTTCTTCGATGGTGCCGTAGTCCAATTGTGGCCGATTTTTGTACTTTTCATAATCGATTTTCAAATACTTCAGACTATCGTTGGCCTCCGCCATATTTAAAGCCACAAACTTTCGCTTTAGATCCGTGCTCTTCAGTAGAGTGCTGCAGCGTTCGTGCAAGGTGTTCCATTCCAACGCCCATGAGTAACGCTTGTTGCGAGGCTGAAAGGCCACCGTCAGCAAATCCTTGAGTATGCTGCGCGGCAAACGCAACGTTTGCAGTGCCTTCGAGACTGGATCATAGTCGGCTACGGGTGCATTGTGATTGGTGATAGCAACAATTTCATCTACATCAATGGTTGAACTCAACAGCTCATATTTGATATGATCCAATTTATCAGTACGTGCTCCTGTTTTGCTGGAGACAACTTCCTCCTCGTCCTTCCGTTTCTTTTTAATGCGCGAACACCGTTTTACCTCACAATAGCTGCTGCGCGTTGGATGTAAATAGAAAGCCGTCAACCAGAACTCCGCCTCCATGAAGCCATGCTCCGTAAATACCTTGGCTAAGTCGGCATAGTTGTCAGAGAGCTTGTGTTCCAGGTTAAGCATGAATTGTGTGGTTAAGCCTGGATGATAGCGCCAAACTTCAATGGTATTTAGCTTCTGGCCAATTATCTTTAACAGCAGTGCAATCTTGGCAAACTGCCAGCCTCTGAATTTCTGTAAAGGCATAGAAGAAATAACATAATTTACAACTAATTAGGAAGTTAAGTTACACGTTGTGCCAGCAAATTGTACACAAAATCCAACACGTCCTCATTATTGGGCACATTCTGAAAGACCGGATCTATTTGTCTATCTAACTCCTCGTCGACATCCAACAGCGGCTTCTCATCATCATCGCAATTCTTGTAGTTGCCAATGTTGCTCGCACGATTTCCCTTGCATATCTGCTGCTGGTAGTTGAGATTCAGATTCACTGTGTGCGGCAGAGCGTGGCTGTTGCGCTGACACTCTAATTTCTGCAGTTCATTGAGCAAGAAGCGCTCGCTGTTCTCGCGCTCCTCCACATATCGATGCATCAGCACCTTGAACTGTGCTATGTGCGCCATGAAATCGTGCTCATTAAGAGCCATCAATTCCAGAAGTTGATTGCCCAGCACATAGCTGGTGTAGGCCTCCAACATGACAGCGAAAGAGGTGACGAGGTTTAAATTGAACTTCTTAAACACAATGTGCTCGAAGAAACCATCCTTGCCCAGACCCAAGCGTACACAAATCTGTGCAATTAGCCTAGCGGGAGTATAGCCCATGGCCTCTGCATTCGATGTCTCCTGCATGCTCTGCGCATAGAAGCGTATGTTGTACATCTGTCAAAGGGAATCATATATTAATACAAAGCTGTGCACAAAATATTTTGTCTGTATGTGTACCATATTATCAATTATATAGCCACGATTGTCGTCCGCAACAAAAACTGTGAGCAGATAAAGGTGTGCCACTAAGACAATGGACGTCTGTTCAGAAGGCAAGCGCTCTGCACAAATTCTTGGATAGCATTTCAGCCAGGCGGCGAGCACACGCAGCGAAAGCTGCTTAACTGCTTCCCAGCTGCCAGCATCGAAGAGCTTTAATAGACGAAGTATGATCAAATGCAAACGCTCCTGCATCAGAAATGTTATATCTACCGAAAAGATAACATAGATTAATAAACGCCAAACAATTGTGAATAGTTACACCTTCTGCAGTGGCTGGCGGCACAGCGTGCTCAATCACATGATGTTTATTCTGCTGTAAATTGGCAAAGAGCTGCTGCAAATAGGGCAAACGCCAGGGGCTCATTTGATAGTTGAGTATATACTGCCAATCGATGTCGCAGAGCCCCTTAATCTTATTAAACACCTTATGACCCTTGTTCAAATAGTGTAAAAGTATGCGCTTCAGGGTCTCCGAGCAGCCCATCCACTCCTGGCTGAACCACAGTTGCAACGTATGATGCGCCAGCAATCGGACAATGTGTCCCAGCTCTTCCGTGATGGAATCGCGGCTGTGCAGATGGCAAGCATCCCATCCGTATATTAGTTGCAAAATACGATCGTCAGGAATTAGCTGGTAGACATCAACATCGCTGCAGCTCGAAAAGAACGCAAGCATTTTCTGTCACAACAAAACAAAAAAGGTTGAGACACTGATAATACAGAAAAATTTGTTATACTTACTGCATTGAACTCGTCATATTGTATTCGCGAAGCGCACTCTAGAAATTTTTGTTCATTGTATTGCTCGGGCAGAATGATGTCCATGGCGAGCTTTTTATTCAAAAAATATCACATAAAACTATTGGATCTTGGAAAAACACATAGAACTTGTATTTATTTTTCAGCCGGTATGCACGTCCGCAAGAGATGATAGTTCACATAGGTCAATTATCGATATGAATATGAGTTGCGTATCAGTCAGCTTTTGTCAGACATTGTGAGTGAGCGCCATATTTAAATTCCGAAGAGTTGAAATTTATTATGTATAAGAAATTACGTTAGGCTAATGCGCTATTTAGTTTACTTTCAATAATGTGCATGTTTTTTAAAATGCATAAATAGATCATAGATAATATAAGTTATATAAAGTGTCACAAATGTATGCAGCAATGACATTAAATTTGCTCTCACCATCATACCGGTTCCGCTACCCACATTGTGATTGCGTTTTGTTACCAGCTGGCATATGCAAAGTGCAAACAAATTATTATTAGCTGCCAACAGCGTCTGCTACTTCATCTTACAATGAATGCACCAAGGGTATTCCTTTAGAAATGTGTCCATTCTAAAGAGCAAATATGTTTGTGTGGCGCGGGGCTGAGGTCAACAGTTGGTCAACAAACAGGGCTTCAACGCGTGCAGCAGTGCATGACTGCAACTGCAGCTGGATGAGCATTAAAGGCATGATTTCTGTTTAATATCAGATTTTCATGTATTAAAGGGTAGCAAAAAATGGGCCAAAGCCAATTAATATTTTCCATGTAAATGCCGAGTGATTTACAATTGCCGCACTCGAAGAGCGAACAAAAAAACAAAAAAAAAAACAGACAAAAACACATGTAGCTGTCTATAGTTTGATGATAGCATTATTCCGAACCAATTTATCAGTGGCAAAATCAATTAGTAACTACGTAAGGGCCACAAGTCTTATCGGTTGAGCGATGTGTGTGATATGCCGAACGTACGACGCCCGCTCCATAACCCATTCATTATACGCACCGGTAGCAGTGGCACTGTCATAAATATTCCCATCATCGTTTATTTGGCGTCCTCAACCAGAGTGGCTATCAAATAGCACAAATGAAAACCTGTTGATATCCAAAAGAGACAAACATGAACACATACGCACATACACACACTCATACGTCTGTATCAAAGGTTGCGTTCGTAATTGAAGAAGCGTTTTTGAAGTGTTGCAAGGAAAAAAATGGAAAAATGGAATGGAGACGACAAGCAACACCTTGGCACCTCTGCAGCTGGCAGTCATAAATATTCATGAAGCTCTAAAAGGGTTTTTACTTGTGCGCAAATTCACCCTAAATGGAAAAAAATTGTACATCAATTGCTGTGACCAAGAAATGCAATTGCACGCCATCGATACGAGTCACAAGTACATTTAATATTAAAGGTCAGCATGGGCGTTGGCTAAGCCTAAGTAGGGGGTGGAGCTGGGGGCGGGGCAGAGTTTAACCAAATGGAGCATGCACATGAATTCGAATGAGCCTACGCGTGGTCACATATATATATATATATATATATATGCGTGTGCGTGTGTGTGCATGTGCGTGAGCGTCTCCCAGGGGATGGCAAATAAACATTGCAAAGGCGCGCATGTGTGCCATCAACTTCAGCGCGCAATGCGTTCGTTTCGTCAAACGGCACAATAAGCAGAACGAGGAGGAGCTAAAAGTAGGAGCAGGCCAAGGGGTACGAACAGGAAGACCAGCAGAAGTATGAGCAGAAGCGGGCGACAACGACGCTTTGTTGACTGCCCCACTAAGTAGGCAACACTTTTTGGACCACTTCCGTCGCTGCAGTCGCCAACTGCCCGACACAAAGCTCGCTATTGTGTGCATGTCTCTCTTACTCTGTGTGTGTGTGAGCGCTTCGTGTGGCATGTTCGTACGCCGTAATCGTGTCGCGATTCGCTTCCGTTTTGATTTATAAACGGGTGCCGCGACCAAGCTGCGTATCATTAACAGTTGATCAACAGGTTTGCGCAGACATCCAAACGCAGCAAACGCAGCTAGGCAGATAATCCACAGCAGTTGTAATTGAATTGCAGCTGCCACAAATTCAGTTATAAAAGTCATTTCACGTGCTTAACTAAATTTATATTCTAATAGAACGCGTGCGTGTGCAGAGTCCGCCTATACTCGGCGCATAGACCACAGAAAACGGAAGCCCACGCTACATTTCCGGCATTTCAAATACAATCAAATAACAGCACACAGGTGAGTTGATTATTTAAAATTTATATTTATGATTGGCTAAAATTTGAGCAAAGTTTAAAATTGATTACCAAAAAATAATCGAAATTTATAAAACATAACTTTTAAGCAGTGTTTTAATAGAAATAATCAATAATAGTGAAAGAAATGTTACTAAATGTGAATCAAATTTTATTTATTTTTAATTTAATTTAATTTAAAAATATAAATTTGATTCTTAAGTGATAAATTGAACTAAAATTAAATTGATGTAAAAAGTTAGAGAGAAACAGGAAAACTAGTTATCAAATGAGCTATAAAAGTTTTTAAAAAGTGATAGCAAAACATATTTAGCTTATATTTATATATGAAATATATACATTTTAAACATTCCAAACAAAAATTAAAATAATTGCAAAAAATAGATTTTATTCAAGTTCTTATTAGTTGGGACTAAATCATAAAAGACCGACGTAGTGAAAAGTTTTAAAATAACATTAATTTAATATATGTATGCATATTTAAAATGTATTTAAAAAACTTTCGTCGTTTATATATGGGCTTACAATATAATTAATAACTTATAATGTGTCCAGCAGAATCAAAGTAAAAATCTTACTAAAATCTTAAAATAGAAAGCATGTGAAAATTACAGTTTGAAGAAATTTAAAAAAGTGTTAAAATTAAAATTAAAATTATATTATATAAATATAAAAAGATAAACAATTGAGAATTCTTTAAAATATATTTAAAAATGGTTGACAAATTTTTATTGTATATTTTCCTTAACAACTAGTAATTTTTCAATATCATCTTGATGATATAAGAATTCATAAAATATTTTTAGAATATTTTATTAAAACTTAATTTTAAAATGCTTGATTTTTAAAATGTATTTCCCAATATATAAATTAAATTGCTTGAACTACATTTACTTAGATATTAGCCGAAGCTCATTTGACATATTTGCGGGCAGAATGACGCAGCTTAAATATGTTTACAATAAATACACGAGAGACGAATTTGTTGGCATTATAAAATTGAATTATTAGGCAGTCAAAATGAAGACATTAGCAGCAAATTGAATGCCTAGCAGTAGCAGTGAGAGTGACGAAACGGCTCAAAGCCCCAAAACCTCGAAATACTAGAAAAAAGTGAAGAAATAAAAAAAGCTCCTAAGCCCCAGTAGCTGGGTTCTTTAGTAAATTTATTTACACTTCTGTGGATATTCTGTTTGTTCACGAGTTTTCGTAGCTGCGTGTTCGAGGCGCGATGATTTTTATTCAAATGAAATGTCGTAGAAACGTGGGCCCAATGCCTGCGTACCTATTTAAACAAAATACTTAGAGGCGAATGCCATCCTTTGGCAAATATTGGCGTTGCCTGCTTGAAGAAGGGCGCACTGACTAGGCGTACTCAGGCAGAGACACGCCTCTTGAGAACACCATCGCCCACACACACAGGGAGAGCGCAAGTGAAATGCGTTATATATATGTACATACGTATATTGGGCACATTTATTTCAAGCAGCTCCTGCTGTAAAGGATGCGCAGCAGTAGTCGAAGATGTTGAAGAAGTACCTGTACTTGTCAACGGGCGACACGAGCGTGAATAATGCCTGGACAGCAGCTGCTGAATAATACAGGCGAATGCGAGCTGGCTAAGAACTTGAGGTTCAGCTAACACAATTCACTGGCATGTCAGCCCTTAACATAGCCATAAATATATTTTCAGTTAATTTCAATTACAGAACGTGCTGACTCTCGCTCTCAGCTGAACGATTGCCCTTTGCCCTCAACGGGTCAGCGTGTGTCTGTGTGTGTGTGTGGGGTCATAAAATTTGATGCGTGCGCTATCGAAACGACGTTGCTATCTATTATAATTTAACGCAAAGCCGCTAAAACTTTCGTCCTGGGCGTCAATCAATCAACGACAAGCGCACAAATTAAATGCAAACTAAGACAACATAAAACCAAAGCCAAAACCCCGTCGACAATCAGTCAAGAGTCAAGATCCGGGCAGCACGACCAACTGCAGCCGCCAGCCGCCAGCCGCCAGCCGCCTGTCGACTACCAATTAACTTTCCAATCCCAGCCACATTTGCCATAAAGCAACAAAGTCAAAGCATCGTTTAATCGGCGCCCGCTTAGATTAGATAGCGATAAGGTCACACCTCCTGCTCCGTCGCCTGCTCTGCCGCCACATCACATACGCCACATGGCTGTTGGTCTGAACTGTTAACTGCCATTGATGTATGTGGTAATAGCTTCCCTTCGGGAGCCTGGCAAAAACCCTTTACTATATTTATCTTATTAGTGGCTTGCAGTGTGTAATGCGGCTAATTGGCTCAAAAAGGCATTTCGCTTGATGATATACAAATTTTCATGGCAGCTGCTGCTCTATTACCTATATTGTTAACTGAATATAATTATATGATTTGAAATTTCATAAATTGTTTAGGCACATCTTAAAAGTTTTCGAAAAAATATATATTTAGAAACTGCTTTTGCTCGCTGAATGCTGCCTGCATCTAAGCCAAAACTTTCGAGCATGAGTTATAAATTATGAATTTCTCAGCTCATAGTCCTCTTCTTTCTTTATGCATTCCTTGACTCAAATATTTATCACTTAAATTTTACAGTTATGTATTTATAAAATGCTTATTAAAACGTTGATAAGCCCAACATATGTCAAAGAAGAGATCACAAAAGAAATATAGGTTTATCGCATACACCCGAGCAACCCCACTTAGCCAGTGTATACGCATGTGATTGCCTGTTTCAGAGCCCTGACAGCGCATAAGTTGAACCTCTTAAGCATCATGTGCAAACAGTGCCAAGCTGCTTCACATAGACCCTATCTCGCCCCCTCTTGCTCTCTCCCTCCCACTCGCTGTGTGGCTCGTGCATTGGGTTGCAAGTGCAATTCGCAGCCACTTAAGTACAACAGCAAACATATCCATAAGCTTTACTAGCATTATACAGTATCGCTTTTAAAGCACACCCATTCATTTTTGGCTGGCGCTGAAAATCCGTGTGGTACAACGCGGCGTATGCGTATTATCATTATAATGCCTGCTTTGGCGCTCGCTGTTGCCGCCTACCGCGAGCTACCTCTACCTCTGGCTCATTTGCTGAGCTGAGCTGCAATAGACCATTAATAGGCCATAAATTGTAACTGTTATGCGTTGTTGGCTTTTAACGCAGCGGTTGGCATTTGGCAGTGGAACTTGGGAAGCCATCGGGAGTTGAGTGGTTGGACAGGCTGGCAGCCTGGTCGGCCGGCCGCCCCACCGCTTTCAATTAGAGTGGTTATTTAGCTAAATCGTTATGCTTGTTGCTGTAATTTGAGGCGTAGGCGGAAATGATTGCCAGCAACAGCAACAACAACAGCAGCAGCAGGAGCAGCAGCAGCAACAGCAGCGGCAGCGGCAGGGCAAAAGAAAAGGCACCCACTGCGTGCCCCAGGGAAAACGGCAACACGGCGCTTTAACTTAATTGATCCACGCACTTCTCTTGCCCTTGTTGGCCTTGTTGTTGGCCACAATGTTTCAATTTTTCACTTGTTCATTTTTTTCATATTTATTCATTTGCCTTGCAGGAACATGGCTCAGTCGGGAAGCAGCTCGAATTGTGCGACGGAAAGCTTTGGGCTATTGCTGCTGCTGCTCTTTCTGCACAGCAGCCGTGCAGCTGGCATGGCAAATGGCCCGAATGGCAACAACAATGAGCTGGCGGCCACGGGACTCACTGACCAGGTGGTTGACCAACTTGGCGATAATGAGCTCTACAACAACAACAAACGCGCTTGGCAGTCGCTGCAAAGCTCTTGGGGCAAACGCTCCTCGAACGATCCGGCCGCCCTGGAAATGGATGATTCGATCTATATGACGGGACACTTTGTGCCGCTGGTCATCACCGATGGCACCAACACCATCGACTGGAACACCTTCGAGCGCTGGGCCAGCAACAATCAGGAGCAGCAACAGCAGCTCCAGCAGCAGCAGCAGCAACAGCCATCGAATTCTATTGAAGACTCTGATGAGCTGAATTCTGATAATGCCATGGAGAAACGCGCCTGGAAGAACATGAATGTAGCCTGGGGCAAGCGGCGTCAGGCACAGGGCTGGAACAAGTTTCGAGGAGCCTGGGGCAAGCGTGAGCCCACCTGGAACAACCTGAAGGGCATGTGGGGCAAGCGTGATCAATGGCAAAAGCTGCACGCAGGCTGGGGCAAGCGCTCCCTGAACAACTAAACTCGCTCACCCAATAAGCCACAAAATACCAATGGATGCAACACTTTACTATATATATATATAAATATCTGTGTATACAAATATACGAAATCTTAGATAACCTATTTCCCCAGTAGAGTCTCTCGATTTTCTAGCAACAACTAAGCCAACAACAACAAGGATGTAGATCAGATTCCGAAAATGTATGAAAGCGCTCGCCACAAAAACAACAACAACAAGAAGACGATGAAGAAGAAGAAGAATCAAAAAAGTATTTGTAATTTGCCTAAGTAATACATATATATAGACATACATACATACATATATATATATATATTTGTCTCTTTGGTAGCTGAAGCCAGTATTATAATCCAAATATATAATCAAAACACACACAAACACACACATAAACTATATTGAAACTCGGAACATGGCACTAGTTTCTAGAAACAAAGAAAAACTTAACTTAGTTAATCGAATTGTGCATATTTTTTAAATACGTATACATACCAAAAACAAAAAACATGGCAATTACTATATACATATATGTGTATATATATATATGAATATATATAAATAAATCAAATTATCTAAAAATAAATTAACGAAAATCCATCAATATAAATTGTCAGAGTTTGTTATTCATTTTATTTGCGTTTTAACTAAGATCTTTACGTTTAGCTTTTGATAGAAGTTACACAAGATACTGTAAGAGAGAAAGTCTTGAAGACTTGAAAAGGGGAAAGAGCTTACAATGAGAAAGAGTACCAAGTAGTACCAATAGACTGCAAATAGTTTCAAGATTTTCATTTTGGGTTTATGACTTGGGTCTTAAGAGTTTCTATACCTAAAGTGAATATCTTAAAACTATTTACAGTCATTACAGTCAAGGACAGTACCTTGGCTCTCATTTCTTTGTCAGCATAGTAAAATATTAATTGAATCTATTTGTGCTTCGAGGCTTCATCAGTGTTTTTACGCTGCGTTCCATTCCATTTCGTTCCGTTGAGCTTGCTGTAAATAGAATATTTTTCTTAATCATTTAAATACAAATTTTTAATAATTTATTAATTAATATGAGTTTAACAATTTAAAAATCGAATTTAAATTTGTTTATTTGTTTACTTGATTCTGGCACGGAACTCATAAAATATGAACTGTAAATAATTAACGCAGGCTTAGCAGCAATTAGTTTGATATAAATTAGAAGTATAAATAGTTCGTTCATATTGCTACGGCTAATAGTTCATCGAGTCAAGCCTAGCTATGAGGTATTTGCCACGGCTCAGAGATGGAAAAGCTGCTCCAATGCCTTGGCCTTTGGCGATGTATCGTCGGCTCAATCACATCGCCTGGCCTCTGGAGGATGGCGTCAGTCGTCGAGCAGTGCTGCTAGAGCGCTTCGTCATCTTTGTGGGATTTCTGGTATTTTGCCTGCACAACGAAGTGGATATGCATTATTGCTTGGCCTATAGAAAGGATATCGATAAGATGCTCACGGGCATGCCCACTTACCTTGTGCTGTTCGAGCTGCAGATACGCGGCTTTCAGCTGGCTGTGAAGAAGGACGCGTTCAAGCGCCTGCTACAGAAATACTATGCGGACATCTATGTTACTCAGGAAGCGGAGCCTGCGATCTTTGCTCGCATTCAAAGGCAGATGCTGGCCACACGTCTCAACTCGGCGGCTTATCTATTGGCTTTACTGAACTTCTCTCTGGTGCCGGTGCAGAATATTATTTACCATCGACGGGATATGCTCTATCAGCAAATTTATTTATTCGATAATACGAAGCTGTATTTCTTCATACCCTTGATATGCGCCAACTACTGGGTGGGCATTATCATAACGTCGATGCTCTTTGGCGAGCTGAATGTGCTCGGAGAGCTGATGACACATCTAAATGCGCGCTATGAACTGCTGAGACGGGATCTGAACGGGATGGCCAAGCAGTTGCTGGAGAGTGCACACCCTGCAGAGATTGCTGCGAAATATAGAAGAGCAGTCATCCATATACTTCGTCGCAATGCTGCTTTGAATCAATTTGGCCAAGAAATGGAATTGGAATTTAGTTTTCGTATTTTCGTATTGTTTGCTTTTAGTGCTGCTCTGCTGTGCGCCATGGGGTTTAAGGCTTATACGGTATAGATGACAGAGAAACATTTAAGACTTATTATATACTCAAGTATGCTCTTGCTTTTCCGCAGAATCCAGCTGGAAATATTGTCTACATCGTTTGGTTTGCAGCAAAGTTGTGTGAGCTCTTGGCTTTGGGCATGCTTGGCTCGATCCTCTATGCAACAGTTCGTTTTTTAATCTTATCAAATTTCAAATCTTTACCTAATATTTTCAATTTTAAGACGGATGGGCTGAGCCTTATGTATTACACTTGTGACTGGGAGCATATCGTCTACAAGTCAAGCAATGCACCGGAAAATGTCCAACTTATGAAGCTCATCACATTGGCTATCGAAATAAATTCACGACCATTTTGCCTAACAGGCTTAAAGTACTTTCGTGTCACTTTAGTAGCTGTGCTTAAGGTAATTTCCATTGCAATCATAATAATTATTATAGTTATCTACTTATTGCAGATAATACAAGGCGCATTCTCTTACTTTACTTTTCTAACTTCAATGCGCTAAATAATTCAAACTCTCAAATTGGCGCCCTGTCTAGTTTTATAGCAGTCAGCTTTTCAACGTAAGCTGCTTTTCTAGAGTGACCATAGGAACATTTATCGACTCTGGATGCCGAACGATAACTAATTAATTCTATATTTTATGTGCACACACTGGTTGAGGCCGCCAATTTGCAGCATTATATTTAGGAAACACATATTGTTCGCAGCTATATTGTGCATAACATGAATTTCTCTGGCAATAAATGGTAAAATATTGTGTATTTATTGCAATAAACACATTTCATATAGACCTTTTATTATTTGCAGTTCGCCAAGTTTTCGCAGTCCCGTTGCACACCCACGACAAAGCCGGCAACTGGCTCGTTTCAATGTGCAGGAAAGTTTGGAGCACCGTCAAAAGCGTGTAGAGGCTAGAAACTATTTGAAATGGGGTTTTATAAATATAATTCTACTTACATTGATCTCTTTCGACCTGTGGCAAACGTGCCTCTCAATGAGAAATAGCTTGTGGTATCAAACGGAATTTTCAGTTGCCATTTGCATCAGCCTCAGCGCCGCCGCCTGTGTCGGAAAATACTTCTGGTGGCTCTTGCTTGACAGCGCACCACTGTGTGTAACGGAAGTGCAGCGGTGTCTACTGGATGAAGGAAATGGTCAGGAAACTTGCCGTAATCTCATACAATATACTAATATTTTAAGTTATTTAGATAACACCTTTCAAAGTGTAAAGAATCTTTCGAAGCCGCTCGCTTATGAGCCGGAGTATGACGAAATGTCGGGGCCCATTATCAATTGGCACTCTTCCTTTGAAGATTCCCGTTGGAACTCGCAATCACCACGTCGCAGTCCAAGTCCAGTGCGCAGCCCGCTTCAACAACAGCAACAGCAGCAGCAACAGTTCAACAATCAGTCCTACAATCGCTCCTTAGGCGCTAATAACTCACTTAATGCCAGCAATGTGAGCAATGAATCTGTCTACATGTCGCCCTATGCGGAAGTTTGTCGCGAGGATTTTCCCACTGATGTGCGAAAGCTGCCCGCATTGATGCGAAGGGCAGAACGGGAGAGGGAACGTAGCTATGCCGAAATGGCTGATGCATCAACGATGCAGAACGTAGATTCTGCTAATTCATTTTGGAACTATTGCAATAATGCTGCATATATGCTAAAGCGCACCATCTATCAATTGGCACCAGCACCTGTGCCCTCAACAGAGAACGTGCCCTCGTCCATTGAAGATTTTGGCATTGTTCAATTCAAGGATAGCAACTCGGAAGTCATCAAGCGCATTTCAACAGTTAAGCTGTCACAGTATTTAAGCAATCTAAGATATGTAAGAATACTTGCTAAAGTATTAGCTTTCAATTTCTAAGCCCTCTTCACTTTCAGTGGATCTCTACGACCATATTGCAGCGCCTTGTCAAGCAGATCGATCATACGAACGAAATCTTTCGTCAGCGTGGCCTTAGCGATTTTAAGATTGGCGCCGTAGGCCTGGAGCGTTTGCGCAAGATGGCAGAGAATCAACAATTCGTGCAGAGCTGTGCGCCCATGTTGCCGCTGCTGCTTCCATTTCTGGACACCTTCAACAATCAGGAGTATTTGGTGCAGCGCATTAGGGATCTGGCGCAGGGCTCTTGCATCGGGGAATATCGCTGGAACTCGGGCAATTCACACAATGGCAAATTATGGGGCGACCATTTGCCCACAGATGCAGCAGTGAGTGAGCGCCAAAGATATGTCCTGCTATGATTTAATACTGTTCTTATTCGTCCTTACAGATACTCTTTCATTTGTTCTGCGTTTACTTTGACAGTCAATTGATGCCGCTGCCGCAGGGTGGCGGCCGGCCCTTCCATTCACGCTATGTACTCATACGCGAAGAGAAACGCTCCACCAAAGAGATTATAAATGCTGTTAATAACAAAGCCCATTGCGCCATACTCGTGACGAACAATCAGCTGAAGCCAAAGTTTAATTTCATCAGCGAGAAGGAACTGCACAATTGCGCCAATGATCGCAACAATTTGTTTTATGTTATCATACAATTTCTGATTTATATGCGCACCCATCAGGAATCGGCGCTGGAAGGCGTCAATTTGGGCAGGAGCGGCATCAATATAATGTGCGTAATCGACGACTGAACAACTAGCTAGATAGAGACATTTGAACTTTTGGACTTGGCCAGTTAATTGGAATGGCCGACAAACTCATCTTTAAATTTAAATATATATATATATTTGTATATTTATTGTTATACAGGCTGGACACGCCATGGCACAGCATATTGAACTATTAAATTATGCATTGTAATTATTAAGTCAATTGCCAAGACGACAACAACATACCCAGGCACATGCAACTGTAAACATGTGCGCGGTTTTTGCGGTCACAGGAGTCGCTGCACCGCGCTGCTTGCTGCTGGCCACAATGCATCATCATCAAAGTGTCATGTGAACTTTTGAGCGGGCACCATCCGTTATTGTTGTTGCTGTTATCCTTGCGGTCATTGCGGTCTGCGCTTTGCCAACAATTAACTTATGCCTTGGACCTCACCCAAGTCAGTTAGCTCAAGCACAATGACTGTCAAGCCGTGGTTGGGCACAGGTGCAGAACTTTAATTGCTTTTTCATGATTTTCAATATATACATATAAACTGTGTGTGTTGGTGGCTGGTCAATGGCCCAAACAGAAGGATACGCTACACTATAACTCCCATGTGGCAGCGCCAACACAGCACCGTTCGAAGAGAGTGACAAAATTAATGGCTTCCGGCAATGAGTGTCGTCATTTTGTTAAGCTTAAGAAAAGCGCTTGCAGAAAATGCTGCCTTGCTGGCCAACACAGGCATCATGTGCTGGTGTTAGCCGTGAGCAGCAGTAGAAAGCTGAGAACGAGTAAAAGAAGCAACTGACATGAACTCTTGACTACCTACGGCTGCATACACTTAACGCTGTGTGGCTGGCATTGGCTCTCGGCAGTTGACTGCCTTGCTCTGCGTTTGCCTTCTCGTGGCTTGTGCTCCTCCTGCATGGCCATTTTTCTTGGCCATGCTCATTTTAGAGGCAAGCAACGACGCTTCGGTTAGCCTGTTTCTGTTTCAAGCTCTTTGTTCATTTGACGTTGAATCGCTTGGTTGGTTATTTTAATGCCGTCGTCGTTGTAGCTGGCACCTCGGGTGAGTAATGTGCTTGGGTTGTCAACTTTACACTTTTATCCCTCGCATTATGTTTGCTTTACCTACACATACACACACACATACCACACACACCCCCCTCTGCTTGGGTGATATGTTTTCTTGATACTTTTTCTCAACTTGTAAATTGGCTTAAAAATAATTTGTCAAAGCATTTCAGCGTACAGGGGATTGGGTGCGCTTGGATATGTCTCTCTCTATCGCTCTCCCACTCGCCCGCTGCCATTTTCTCCGCCAAATTGTGTGTTGGACCCCACGAGAAGGTTAACAAATTTTTTCTTTTAAAGAAACGCATGTGCGCGTCTTCATATCCAATTAGAAAAGTTTTCCTTCGGCTGCACCGTAATTGTGTTGATTAGTGCGGCTCGCTGGCTTCCCATAGGCAGCAGATGGATTTCACCTTCTGGCTGCTCTCTCGCTCTATCTTTATCTAAAGCCTGATAAAAAAAAAAACACTTTAAAAGAACTGAAACGAGATTCGAATTGCTTGTTATATTCAATCGGCTTACACAAAACTTCGATCTAATATTATTCTGCCAGTCACTCCACAAAAAGAAAAACTCTGCACGCTCTTGTCCTGTCGCAAAATGTTTGTACACAATAAACTGGCTAGTGGTAAAGCTTTTACTTTTCGGCTTTCCTTTTTTTCTATATTTTTGCCTCTTTCCCTTCTTGTTTTTTTTTTTTGGCTGCTTATTTATTTTTACTTTTGTATGCCCTGTGAGTCGTGCCTGAGAAGGGTATATGAAAAGCTAGCTGACGGAGTGTTGGATAGAACTATATGATTAGAATGAATGGAATGGCATGGAATAAAAATGTGAAAATGTGTACAGGATGGAAACTTAAGAGAATTGTTGGTGCTATATAATAGTATAAGCATGAGTATCTTAAAAGTTTTTAAAATTCTCTTTACAGCAAGAATACAGAATAACTAAACTAAGCCCTTCTAGAGTATATGATAGTATAAGACTGTAGAGTACAGCTTGGACAGTAGAGGGTCGCTTAGTATACTATAAGAAATAATAGTATAGGATAATATATTACAATATACAATTCAAGTACAATATTACATATGAATTCTCTCACCTTTACCTAAAGCACACTTTCAGGAGAAACTTAATTCCAGCACTTGCAGCGCAACTGCGAGTCGCGCACAAGTTTTCTTCTCTTTTGTGTCCTCTTTCTTTACTTGTTTTCCATCCACAGCTCGTTTGGGGGGTGCCACATTAATGAACAAAATATTTTTCCTATTATGCGCCAATATGGTTGCCCATATTTCGGTTTATTTAATTTTGCGCAAATAAAACGGAAGTGGCATTTTTATTTTTACCAGCATAGTCTAGTGCCCGTTCCCTGTGCTCTGCTCGTTCTTGATCCTGTCTCATATTTGTGCGCTCCATAAAACTCTGATGCGAAGCCAAACAAACTTGCGACAATGATGATAATGTCGATGCTTAAATGTTGAACAAATATTTGCCGCAGTTTCATTTTTTTCCATTCTCATCTTATTTTTTAAACAAGCAATTTGTGTAGTGCAGACCCAGAGAGCTTTAAAAAGTCATAGTCTTGTGTAGTGTATATAGTGTATATGTATATATATACATATATGGATATAGCCGCTTTCCATCTGTGCGTTTTCTCAGAAACTTCATTGGCATAGAAAATATAGCTGTAATTTCCTTGGATTTTTACATATCCTTCTAGAGGCTATTCCATAACATTGGAAAATGTTTAATGCTTAAATATTATATATAGTAATATCTAATATGGATGCATATGCAAAGTTGCGTTTAAGCTTTCTGGCCATGTCAAATGTCCGTTTATGCAGGCCAATAGGAAACATCTTCGTGTATTTAAATAAATATATATTGAAATATTTTTAGCTATATGATATAACTTTAAGCATAAGCATAAAAATAGAGTCGTAAGAAAAATTAATTTTTAGACAATTTATTTTTATTTTCGCGATTTTCTATTGAATAGCCAAGTCTTAGGTTGATACCCAAGCTATCTATTTGACTGTATGACAACTTAACTACCAAAAACTCCACATATCTTTAAGCTATCCCAAGCAATCTGTGCGTAAGTATTAGCATTGCCATACTTAACTAAATAGTCAATTTATATTACTACAAATTCTACTACTCAATCTATTAATACTATTGCTACGACTACTCATACTATTAGTACTACTACAATTTCTACTACTATTACACTTACTACTACTACTAAATATTACTACTATTACCACTACTACTACAATACTAAACAACACTTAACAACTATAATTAGTAGAGTATTTCAAATTCGTTTTACTCATCTCGTCTTTCGCTTCTATTTTAATTTTCGACGGGGTTTCGACGGCGCGCCAATTGCACGCTTGTTACTGTCCATTTCGTTAATGGCTAAAATGGGTTTTTATGGCAACTATTCGGGCAGCGAATTCAAGCCATGCAGCTTATCTATTGCCGCTCGAGCATATGAGTGCCAGGCAAAACCCTATGCAAATGCAAAGTGCCTGAAGCTTAGCTATTGAAATAATAATTAGAAGCCGCCAAATGCGCATTGCTGCAGTTGCCACACACCTGTCCAGGTGTCGTCTTCAAATTAGATGCTGCAAAGCAACCGCCGATGCTGCTGCTGCTGCTGATGTTGCTGCGTTGGTCTTCAATACCGTTGCTGATAACTTACGCAACTAAGCTGCATGCCACTTGCTGCCGCACACACACAGACACAGAGAGAGTGTGTGGCCCCTATAGCAGCATTTGCATTTAATCGGATTTGTTGTCCAGATTACAGGTACGAGCACGCATACAACGACTCTGATTTGCGCACTGGCCGAGCAAAAAAGAAAATCACTTGTTGTGTAATATGCTATGTGTGTCTGTATATGTGTGTATATGTGTGAGTGTGTTGACCACAGCCAAATGCCATGACAAATTAACGTGGCTGCCAATTCAAGTTGAGTCTTACCGCTCCATATTGATCCTCTTGTTGCTGCTGTGCCAGCTGCTGGGCATTTACTACTCTTCGCTAGGGGCAACTAAACTCTGTGGCTCTGTTGCCACAGCAAAAAGGCAATTAAAATCTAAAGCTTGATATTCTGCTGAAGAGTTTGACTTGTCGATCTCAAGTGGCCATGATGCGAGTAGCAAAATTCTAAACTAATGGAAACTGTCTAGAAATAAGCTCGAAAACTAACACTAACTGCTGTTTTAATTATTCTAGTTTTTCTTTTTATAAATATACATATATATTGATTTATATATTGCTTTATATATATATGTATACATGAATTAACATACATCTTCATAATTCTAATGACTTCACAGCTTTTATAAGTATTTCATCAACTGCTGAGCTGAGTTTGAGAGATCAGCAGCATTTTCTTCACAGTTCATTCTTGAGATGGACTCATCATTTAGTTAACTTGACTTTATTGAGATACAATAGTCAGTTTTAAGCCAAAATTATTAACTTAAATATGCATTTGCCTTTTACTCATAATTTTATATCCTCAAACTTTTATTTATTATCGACAAAGTTTATTTGAAAAATAGTTTGAAAAGTGTTTCTAAAAAGGATTAAAATTTCAGTCGAGTTTCAGGTCAACAGTGAAACAATTTCGACGTACAAACATTGTTATTCCCTAGATCTTTATATACAATAAAAATTTATATAACTTTATCAAAATGTAAACTTAAATTTCATAATCTTACTTTTTCGCTTCATGCTTTGTCAACTTGTTTTTAACTACATTCATACTTAAATATATTTATTTTCATTAGTTTTAAAACTATCTTTATGAGTGTATAAACTATTTTCTATTTTACTATATATTATATAAATTTACTTTAAATCAGATTTTATATTTTAACTGTAATAAGCTTCTGTTGCTTCATTAACTATAGCTCTTTTACTTCTGCGTGCTTGCACTTTGCTTTGAAAGTGAAGTATTATAGCTAAGTTAATTTCATATATATATTCTATAATATAATTCCTTGTGATAAATATTTTTTATAATTTTTTTTAACATTTTCAGTTGACTTTTACAAATGCTCGCATTGCAGTCGCAACTGCATGTCGCGCAGCAGCGGCTCTTTGTGTTTTGGGGTAGAGTATTTCAAGC